GCAAGCCTGGAGCAATGGCTCCTGGTTCAGTGCTTGCTGCTCTTGCAGAGGACTGGAGTTTACTTATCAGCACCTATACTGAGCAGCTCATAACCACCTATAACTCCAGTTCCAGGGAATCTGATGCTCTCTTCTGACCACTGCAAGTACCTGCATACACATTTGCATACTCACAATACAGACTTACACACATATACATAAAATTCCTTTTTCATTGAAAAAAAACTTTTTTTTTTTTTTTGTCTTTTTTGAGACAGGGTCTCCTTGTAGCCCCAGCTGTCCTGGAACTCACTATGTAGACCATGCTGGCCTCGAACTCACAAAGATCTGCCTGCCTCTGCCTCGAGAGTGCTGGGATTAAAGGCGTGTGCCACCACGCCAGGCTTTCATTGAAAATTTTTAAAAAATAAAAAAATTAAAAAAGCCTGTTACATCCCAACACTCAGGAAGCAGAAACAGGCGGATGGATCTCTGTGAGTTTGAAGCCTGCCTGGTCTATATAGCAAGTTCCAGGCCAGCAAATCTCTGAGATTTTTGTCTCAAAAACAAAAAAAAAGGTGTGGGGGTCGGGGTGGGGGATGGCTGGAGAGATGGCTTATGGTTAGGAGCACTGACTGCTCTTACAGAGGACACAGGTTCCCAGCATCTATATAGTGGCTAACAACTGTCTCTAACTCCATTTCCAGGGGATCCAACACATTCTTCTGGCCTCTACAGGCACTGTACAACAGGGGTACATTTACATACATGTAGGCATAACACTCATACACATAAACAAATTAAATAAATTAATAAACAAAAGTGGTTAAATGCTTGACTAGCATACTCAAGAGCCTTCATTTACTTCTCAGTTGGGGGAGGGCATTACTTTGGTAAAATTGACTGTTTTGTTTTGTGTTTTGTTTTGAAACACAGTCTCAGGTATCCCAGGCCGGCCTCCAACTTGCTATGTGACCCTGAACTCCCAATCCTCCTGCCTCTTAACTCCTAATGCCGGGATTGATTATAGGTATGTGCTACCATGCCTGTCTCAAGGAATAAACACTTTGGAATCTGGAAACATGGATATAAATCTCAGTGACCACTACTTAGTAGTTACAAACCCTTAGCATATCTCAAATCCTCGAATGTCAGTTCCCCAGGCATAAACAGGGAACAGTAATAAAACTTAGTACAGGAATTTAAGATTCAAAATGCTCTCAGGAATCACTGCCGCTTGCTAAATATACTGTGTCAAGTTTTACATAATTAAGTAGTTAAGGCCATGTAAATTTAAATGACCAAATCCTTAGATAGCCATCTTTAGTATATTATGGGCTAAACTCAGTACAGCAGAGGTAAACCTGGGTCAGAAACTATACTTCCTTATTTACAAACTGTGGAGTCCTGGAAAAGTTCCTTATCCTCTAGAGCCTTTGCCTCCTCAGTTACAAAATGGTGTTGGGGAGTTGGGGAGATGGTTCAGTGGTTAAGAGCACTTGCTTGTTCAGAGGACCAGAGTTCTGTTCCTAGAACCCACATCGGGCAGCTCACAACCTCCTGTAACTCCAGTTCTAATGAACAGGACACTTTCTTCTGGTCTCCACAGACACTCAAACACAGATACACACAGACACATACAGACATACACATACATAAGAATAAATCTTTTTTTTAAAGACAAAATGGCGTTAGTATACCATCTAAACTCATATGGCTACTGTAAGTAATAAATGAGATAATAAAGCTTTAAACAGCAGATGGTTTGAAGTAAGGACTTGATAACTGTACCCATTTTCACTGGTAGTTCCAACCTAAGCCCATTTTTCTATTCCCTTTTCGAAGGAAGAAGAAGCTATTAGCAATGCCTAAATTACCCCTCAACTTCTAGAGAAAGTAATAATGAAACCAGACCAAAAAGCAGAAAGGAATACGAATGAACTGCTATTCCAGATTATGTGTTATGCTAATGAGATCTGACTTTGGGAAATATAGGGCTAGTATCTGGAGAATACCTCACAGCACATGCATGCCTTGCAGAGTAGACAGGTGTACCAATTCCATTCTAGCCAGGCTACCCATTACTGTTCTCCAACCTGGGCTCCACAGTGAGATCTACCAATCAAGCAGAAACTGCAACAGGAAGGCAACTCTGATCCACATGCAAATCATAGCTTTTTTCTAGGTCCAACCTTTAATTTTTCAGCTCATTTCCATTTCTATCATGACTTCCCCTAGCCCACTTTAGTGTTGGTTTCCTGTGCCTTACTGCACTTGTTACATATTTCCATTCTATAATTATCTGGTAACATTGTGATGGGCTATTTGTTCATCCACTCACTGTATTGCAAATGGATAAAGATCCTGTCTTACTTACCTTTGAATTCCCAACTCATGACACATAGTGAATCCTTGAAATTACATATTTATGCAGTTCCCTTTACCTTTTACTAGTGAAGGCTGAGCAGAAACACCAGGGGAGACATTAGTAGAAAGTACACAAACTAAGGTCTGCCAATCCAGACCTGATTCTTTCTGGGGCTGGAGGGGGATAATTTTCCGCTTCTCAAGATACTTTCTTGAACACATTTTTTTTTTAAAAAAAAAAAAAAAAAGGACAGAACTAGTTCACAGAGAATTTCCAGACAACAGATTATATTCTTTCTTGGAAAATAACATAAAAAACAAGGTTTCTAGAATGAATGTTAGTGGTTTCATGTGAAGTTGACCTGTGGACTTAACATCCTGAAATGTATTATTTGTAGTTCTTAAGTCCTTAAAACAATAAAGAAAAATTAAGATGTGAACAATCAAAACAGTGTGAGGCATGGCAGCATACAAATGTAATTCCAGCACTCACAGGCTGAGACAGGAAGATGTAGAGTTCAATGCCAGCATGGGCTACATATCAAGACCCTGTCTTAAAAAAAAAATACGTATGCAACTATCTCAATGATGACTCCATGACTAATAAACCATAAATTATATCTTTAACAGACTACTATTTTTAAAGTGCTTTCAAATGTATCTACTGAACGACAGCCAACTGTAATCACTGAAACGTAAAACTAGAAGGACCTTTGGAAGTTATTTCCTTATCTCCCCAACAAAGTGATATTCGAACACCTCTAGTCACTAGCCATTGGAAGGTAAGAAACTAAAATGCTTAAATGTCTGGTGTTCTAGCCACCTGGTAGTCTTGTGCTCCCACTTTATTGATTCCAATCAGAAAAAAATTAAAAAAAAAATTAATCTCCTACCATGCAACTGTCTTTGCTTCCTAAATCCACTTCCTTTCTGAGTTTCTTCACCAACCCACCCATACCAACCACAGAGGAAGGGCCCTTGAAGATTCTGACACCCCCAAGAGCCCACTAGTTATATCCCTGATAATCAAAACTTTCCTTCTAATTCTGTATTACCTCTTTCTGTATGTGGTCACTTAGAAGTCAAGCAACTCCAGGTGTCACTGACCCTATGGCCTCAAGACTGTCCCTTTACTTTCTTAGCTTCACTTTCAGCTTCTCAGCCCTGTGCTTTAATTCCTTTCAAGCTCAATGTCTCCTTCCAGGGCCACTGGGTATACACCTTAGTTAAATGCCTATTAGATAAAGGGCTCCTATACTCTCAAGTTCACCTTCAAGAAACAGAGAGAGCAAGAAAGAGAGAGGAAAATAAATATACATAAACATGAACTACAGAATCTGGGAAACTATCCCTAGCTCTACAAGAAGAAGGTCCTTGGTGTCCCTAGCACTTGACCCACAACTTGGTTCAAAAGTGACAATGTTTGTTCAATGAGTGAATGGACCAATTCTGTGACACAATTATTCATTCGTTCACTATTATTCATTCATTCGTTCTTTCATTCGTTAACCAAAGCTTTACTGAGCACTAAATATGTACAAACCCTGGAATATAAGAATAAATAGATGGCTCCTACCTAAAAGTAATCCAAAGAATATTAGTAGATTGGGCAGGTGTGTGTCCCCAACCCCCATGCCAGAGTCCTTTCCCACAGCGAAAGCGTCGGCCTGAGCTTACAGAAGTCCACGCCCCTCCAATTCACGCTACCTCTCGGCCCCTTCATCCTACCTTAGACCCCAACTAAGCATCTCAAAGTCACTAACACTCCCACCCCCGCTGGCCTTTCGCCCTGCTCGCCACGGCCAACCCTGAAAGCTACTGCCAATCCTGTACCCCATGAACGCCTCGGGGTCCCTGGGTCAGAAGCCCTCAGATTTCCCTCACTGAAAACCCGCCTCCCGCTCAGCGCCTTCTTCCCTGTCAGGATCCTTCCCAGTTCTCCCAAGACCCCCAGCTCTCAGTCCTCGCTTCGCCTCCCTCCACTGTCAAGCCGAGCCTCTCCTTGCCTCGTCTCTCAATTCTTCTTACCTCATCTAGCTCCCTGTCCGCAGCAGCACCTCCTCCAACCTCCACCTCCACCACTGCCGCCATCTTCGCGGCGGCCCCCACCCCCGGTCCCCCGGGAGCCAGCTGCTTCCGCCGCTCGAGAGCTTCTAGCCAATCAGAGGCTCGGACCCCCGCAGAGGGAGCGGAGCCTCCACAGGCAGAGGCCATCTAGCTACTACTTGCTTCAGAATTAAGCAGCGACGGTTACTGTATCTTCCCAACCTTCAGCAGGAAGGAGTTCTAGAAAGATGAGAAATTGGTCTTGTACTATTTCTATGTAAATATTTCACCAGTTCTTACCGTGGAGAGCCAAAGGGGAGAGTGCCTGAACTGGCAAATTTCGCGACGCTCCCTCGCTTGGGCTGCCTGGGGCGAAGCGTGTGAACCAAGAACTACATTTCCCTTGCTGCACCGAGCCCGACCCGGAAGTTTCAATTCGCTCTGCGCGGGAGGATTGTAGTGAGTAAAAAATACACATAAAAACACGAGTACACATACTTTTCCAGATGTAGCGATTGCTGTCTTACTCGGTAAGAGTCGGTTTTCAGAAACAGGTTTCTGTAGGCCCCAAGAGGCGTTTCTGAGCTTCAGGAGATAGGGTGGCGCTCGGGGCCAGAAGGCAGAGGTCACGGGGCGGAATTGGCGGGAGAATGCGATTGGAGTCCATGAGCTGAGGCTGTAGCGTATCCTTAAGGGGCCTGGACGCGGGTGAGAGGCGTTGGGGCTTGCCGATGGGGAGGAGGAGTAGCCGAAAGGGAGAAGGGTGGCCACGGAGGAAGAGGACAGAGTCGGGGTCCATGGGTCCCCAGCTTCAGGGCACAGCCTTCCTTTTCCCGTAGGCTGTCATGACGCTCACCATGGTACGCCTTGCTACCCCACAAACTGCATCTCCAGCTCCTCTCCATTCCCCACGTTTTACACCAGATTTACTACGCTCTAGCCCCACGTATACCTTAGAAATTAATTTTCAACACCTGTTCTTTTAATACTTTACAAGCTGTTGGGCCAGCTCACACTCCCCCATGGGTATCACACGGTTCTACGTCTATCTGGTGAATAGGACTAGGACAAGCCGGGGTTCATAGAAAGTGTAATCATAGACTGTCTAGTCAAATTTATTTAGGGGACAACAGGAAGTTAAAGGGTAATATTTATAATATCTTTATGCATCTGATGTACTTAAAAATTGTTACTGTCTAGGGGTCTTGATCAAATTCATTTTTTCTGCACTTCAAGAATTAAAACGCAGGAAAAATCTCAGACACAGCAGAAAATAACAGGTAATAAACTTAAAAGTGAAGAAACATCAGGTCATGGTGATCCATGCCTTTAATCCCAACATTCCAGAGGCAGAGGAAGGTGGATCTCTGAGTTCCAGGCCAGCCTGATCTACATAGAGTTTTAGGCCAGCTGGGTCTACAGAAGGAACCTGTCTCAAGAAACATACATACATATATACATACTTAAAAAAAATAAAATTTTTAAAGTGAAGGAAAAAAGTGGAGAGATAGCCCAGCAGTTAAGAGCACTTGTTGCAGGCCAGGCCTGGTGGCACACGCCTTTAATCCCAGCACTCAGGAGGCAGAGGCAGGGGGATCTCTGTGAGTTCAAGGCCAGCCTGGTCTACATAGTGAGTTCCAGGACAACTGGGGCTACAGGAAGACCCTGTCTCAAAACGACCAAAAAAAGAAAGAGCACTTGATGCTCTTCCAGAGAACCTGAGTTCAATTCCCAACAACCATATTGGGTATTCACAACTGCCTGTAACTCCAGCTCCTGGAGAATATGATGCCTCTGGCCTCCATGGGCACTCGCACTAACTTGCACAGACACACCCATAGGTACATAATTTAAAAATGAAGAAACATGGGGCTGGCGAGATGGCTCAGTGGTTAAGAACACTGGTTGTTCTTGCAGAAGACCTGGGTTCGAATCCCAGCACCCACATGGCAGCTAACAAGTGGCCATAACTTCAATCCCAGGGGACCCGACAGCCTCTTCTGACCTCCACTGGCATTGCACAACATGGGTGCACTTACCTACATGCAGGCAATGCACGCATACACATAAAATAAAAATAATAAATTTTTTTTAATTTATAAAAATGAAGAAACATATATATACACTCCAACAGAAAAAAGGTTCTCTGCAAGTGGAGAGGGGACTCAAACTGAAAAATTCAAAGCCTCTGGGAGGGCTTGGGCCTTTTAAGTGTTTTGGGGCAGGCTCCCTCCCCTAATTTTGGATTGGTCAACCTAAACAAAAGAGAAAGATCACAACTCCAGCTTGAATGGGCTATATCTAAGTCTGGCCTTGGTCTTATCTGTACTGATCTGGACTTATCAGTTGGTAGATGGGCAGGAAGGTCTCTGTCCTGTGGCAGGAGAAAAAAGCCTTCAGGCCTTTGTCTGGGCCAAGAAGAAGGTGAAAGTGTGCCATTTTTATTACTCATTAGTGGTTCTGTCTGCTTATCAGGGATTGAGCCCCTCAAAATTATCATTTTTATTATTTGAAACTTATTGGCAAGCTGGGTGTGGTGGCACACACCTTTAGTCCCAGCACTTGGGAGGCAGAGGCAGGTGGATCTCTGTGACTTTGAGGCCAGCCTGGTCTACATAGAGCGTTCTAGACCAGCTGGGGCTACTGAGAGACCCTGTCTCAAAAAAAAAAAAAAAGAAAGAAAGAAAGAGGAGAGATGGAGGGAGGGAAAGGAGGAGGGAGGGAGGGAGAAAAGAGAGAAAGAGAAAAAGAAAGAAAGGGAAAAAACTACTGGTGTAGTATAAGCATTGTATTCCTGTTCTTCCAGATTGACTGTTGACATGATCTATTCATCATTTTTAATTTTTTTACCTTATTTGTGTGTACACCTATGTGTATGTTTGCTGACACATGCTTGGCAGAGCTGGTGTGTGGCGGTCAGAGGACAGCTTTCTGGGAGTCTTTCTCTCCTTCCACCATGTGGGTTCCAGGAATTGAACTGAGGTAGAGATTGTCGGGCTTGGCAGGAAGCACCTGAGCCATCTCATCAACACCGCTTCATCCTTTTTTTTTTTTTTTTTTTTTTTTTCAGTCTTTTTGAGACAGGGTTTCCCTGTAGCCCCAGCTGTCCTGGAACTGGCTATGTAGCCCAAGCTGGCCTTGAACTCACAGAGATCCGCCTGCCTCTGCCTCCCCAGTGCTGAGATTAAAGGCGTGCACCTGGCTCTGGTTTACTTTTGACATTGAAATCACTGTATGTATTCATAAAAAGAGCACGTCTAAAAGCCACATTCATGTTGCTGTGTGTGGAGATCATTTCATAGTTGTTTTCAAGCAGTATAAATTGGACTCTTCACCCTCTCTAATCACGTGATCCTCACAAAGCTACTAAAGTCAGCTAATCATATTAAAATTAGATTTGAGGAAATGAGTAATTTTAGCATTTGTTTTCTCTGTGATTTTAAATTTTCATTTCAGGAGCTGGGAAGATAGCTCACTGGGTAAGGACACTCGCTCTACAAGCATGAGCACCTGACTTTGAATCCCAGCACCCACATAAAAAGCCAGATAGTGCTGCATGGGACTCCCACCTCGGCATTGGTGGGCCTAGAGGCAGATCCTGAGAGCTCACTGGCCTAGCAGTGACCTAACAGGAGCCAGACAATGAGCCTCCAGGTCAGTGAGAGACCATGTCTCAAGTCAGTAAGGTGGAGAGCAGTTGACGACACCTGAGCCTGCCCTGGCCTCCACAAGCATGTGCATAGGTACGCTCACCTATGTACTCACATGCATGGACCCCCCCACACCAGCATGTTTTAAATTTTAATTGCTATTTAATTAAACATGGTATTGTACAATTAATAAAGTTGTTGAATAAGTATGCAACAACTTGTTGATGTCTCTCTAAGCTTGTTTCTTACAGATAATATCACCAAATTAAAACAATACTGTGGTAAATAAGCGTACCTTACAATTAATAAATAATGGCATTTAGTCCATTGAAATACAGTAATATGAAAAATTAAGGCTTAAATGTATATTTTTTATCAATAGTATAAAATTGGAGTAATTAAAAAAAAAAAAAACAAGACATACCAGGCATGGTGGCACACACCTTTAAACCCAGCACTCTGTCTTTGAAGCATTAACTTTGAGTTGGCTTGCCTATTAGGATGCTTAGGTAGTGTTCATAAACAGTTTGTTGTTTCTGTTGTGGCTTTGTGGCTGTTGAGCTCTTTGGGGTTCCGTTTGTGTGGTCATTCATTGAACAGATCATTGCTAATGAGATCTATATGTTTCCCCTCTTACACTGGGTATTCAACAGTGAGTCAGACATGAAACCCATCCTCCAGGAGCTCACAATCTGTCAAGGGATAAAGACAAATCCATGTCTTTAGGTGAGGCACTCTGTTAAATGCTAAGTGAGAGTTGACAGGGTGGAGCTGTTACCTTGTAGTGACTAAGCAGAGGGGAGGTAACATTTGAGTGCCCTGGGTTAGGTTTTGACAAGTTGGAAAGAGAACTGGTGTTCTGAAGCCATAGCACTAGAGGGTAAGAAAGAAAATTTGGTGAGGAATGGGTAAGAAGGACATTACGGCCAGGAGTGTATCAGGGGTCTGGACTCATGTTTTCAGGGACTGGGGAGTAAACCACATGTCACCAGCTGGACATGGTACAATATGCCTTTAATCCCAGCACTTGAGAGACAGAAGCAGGCAGATCTCTGTGAGTTCCAGGCTAGCCAGGGCTACATAGTGAACCCTGTCTCAAAAAAAAAAAAAAAGAAAAAGAAAAAAAGAAAAACCAATAAACTTCTCACCAAAGAATTATTGAACCTAAATAGTAGGGGCTGGAGAGATGGCTCAGAGGTTAAGAACACTGGTCTTGCAGAAGACCCAGGTTCAAATCCCAGTACCCACATGGCAGCTAACAACTATCTATAACTCCAGTCCCAGGGGATCTAACAGCCTCTTCTGACCTCCGTGGGCATTGTACAACACAGGTGTACTTACCTACATGCAGGCAGTGCACACATACACATAAAATAAAAATAATAAATAATATTTTTTAAAGTTAATTATATTTCTGTGTATTTTTGCATATATTAAAGCTTTCAGGCTAGAGAGACGGTTCAGTGAGTGAAATCTTTGCTGTGCAGGCATGAAGGACCTGATTTCAGATCCCCAGCACTACCATTTTAAAAGCCAGGAATAGTGTCTGGTACCTGTAATCTCAGTGCTGAGAAGTAGAGACAGGAGGATCCTGGGGGCTAACTGCCCAGGAAGCCTACCAGTCATTGAGTCCAGGTTCAGTCAGGGACCCTGTCTCAAAAAGTAAAATGGAACCAGGCATGGTGGTACGTGCTTTTAGTCCCAGTGCTTGGAAGGCAGAGGCAGACAGATCTCTGTGGAATTAAGGCCAGCCTGGTGTACGTAGTGAATTCCAAGCCAGCTGGGGCTACAGGGAGACCCTGTCTCAAAAAAATAAAATAAAATAAAGTGGAGAATGCTAGGACAGCCAGCATCAATCTGGCTTCCATGGGTATACACACAAACAAAATTTTCATTAAAAGTTTAGCAAGCTGGGTTTATTGGCTCATACCTGTAATCCTAGCACTTGGAAGATTGAGGAAGGTGGATTGCCTTGTATTCAAGGCCAGCTTGAGCCACATAGTGAGTTCCAGGCCAGTCTGGGCTACAAAGTGAGGCTCTGTCTCAAAAAACAAGCAAGTCTGGAGCTAGTAAGATGATTCAACAGCTAAGATTACTTGATGTTTTTTCAGAGGTCTCAAGTTCAGTTCCCAGCACCCATGTCAGGCAGCTCATAACCGTGTATAACTGCAAGGGATCTGACACCCCCTTCTGGCCTCTGCAGGCACCTGAATATGTGGCAGGCACTGACAACATAGACACATACACACAAAAATAAAATAAGGAAATAAATAAGCAGGGTGGGGCTTGGTGGTGCATGCTTTTAATCCCAATGCCTAGGAGGCAGAGGCAGGTGGATCTCTGAGAGTTTGAGGCCAGCCAGGGCTACATAGTGAGACCCTGTCTCAAAAGGAAAAAAAAAAATGAAAAAACTTTAGCAAAAGATAAAAGTACTAACACAGATGAATTACTTAGGTAGGTGGGGTGGGTGGGTAGGTAGGTAGGTAGGTAGGTAGGTAGGTAGGTAGGTAGTTATAGATGATTTCTTGCTGTGTTGCCCAGGCTGGCCTCAGATTCTACATCCTTTCATGTCAACTTCCCCTATAGACAGGATTACAGGTGTACAATGCCGTACCTGCCTCCTGTAAACTTTTTAAAGACTAAAGTTAGGCAATGATAGGTAAAACATGTCTTTTGTTGAGGATGGTAAGATGCAGCTGGAAATTAGAGACCTACATTGTTAGTACTCTAAGGGTGGCTCAGTATCTTACCACCATGCAGCAAGGCATATGCATACACCAGCAAATTGTTAAATAATTCTAATACAGGAATAATTATTTTGATCTAGTATCTTAATATGCATACCAATGTGGTCTTTAACCAGCTATGTAGCACAGGCTAGCTTTAAACTCTGGATGCCCCTGCCTCAGCCTTCTGAATGTCTGGATCATATGCATGTGACAGCACACCTAGCTTAGAGGAATGATTTAATAAAAAGCCATTTAGGAAGATTCATTTAAAAAACAATAACAACAAAACAGAGCCATAATGTATTTAGTTGTACATTGTTGCCTGTCCTTACTGTGTACTAGACTCCTAGAGACACAAAGATGAATGACTTAAGGCACTATTCATGTTCTTGGGAGCTCACCTACATATGAATCCAAATTTGTAGTGTGTGTGTGTGTCTGTGTGTGTGTGTGTGTGTACACATTTGGTCTTTTTGAGACAGGGTCTTCCTGTAGCCCCTGCTGGCCTGGAATATAATGTATATTATATATTATTGTGTTGCCTTGAGGTTGTGTGACACTTTGGGGGTCTTAGTAGGTGATCCAGATTTGCTCCATACCCATCAACCCCACCATGCCCTTAGTGTCCTGAGAAATGAGCTAACTGCTGTAAATAATTCCTGTTATCAGAGAAACAAGGAGTAGTAGTTTATTTTTTTCTTTTGTTCTTTTCTTCAGGAGCAATGTGAAGATTCTTGTTCTCCCAGAAGCTGACAAGACCAAATCATAAGCAATGCCAAAGTGGTGATAGACAAAATCTCGGGAGGAAGCACATTTGCTTTGTGCTTGGGACAGCTGGTCTGCCTGTGATGGCTCCTGTGAAGATCAGCCACGTGGTCTCCTTTTCCTCTCAGGTACAGTAGTCAACAGCCATGATTTCTTTTGAGGACTAAAAAGGAGTGAATAAATGTAGAGACTTGCCCATGGTTTGTAGATAGCTAGCAAAGCCCTAGGCCTATCTGTACCAGAGTCCCCAGAAGGGTATTTAGTCATTCTGTCATTGAAACTAAGCCAGGATACTCAGGGTCATACTTGACTTATGAATAAACCATGACTACCATCAAATATGATCAGTCTTCTTTCTAAAAGTTCTACAATCCTGGTTAGAGCTAGATCCTGGGCGTTGGGCTGAAGACCAATATTGGGGATCATTAGGAATGTCCCACCCTTTCCCTCCACGGCCTTTCCTTTCCATTACACTGATCTTTGTCAAGGGGTGCCATTGGCATTTGGAGTAGCTAAATATGTATTTTGTAGCAATATCATTTGTATAGTGCAATATTTACCATCCCTGGCCACCAGGCCCTAATAGCAACATTACTCCATATGATGATAGCAGTCAAAAACATTCTCGCCTATTTCAGAGAGTCCCTTAGATGGTTCTTGGGAACTACTATAATAACCTCTATTCTCAGCGAAATAAAGTAAAAATTGTCTTTACCTTCCTTATCTTCATGGTCAACTTGAACTGTTTTTGTGTTTTTGAGAGATCTTGCCATCTAGCTCAGCTGGCCTTGAGTTCACTATGTATACCAGGTTGACCTCAAACTCTCAAATCCTCCTGCCTCAGCTGTGGTAAGGGCCATCCCAGAACAAAGAGAAAGCAATACAGCATGGCCTGTGTCTGGGTGCACGTACACAACCCTATCTGTCATGATTCTGTAGTGTGGAACACCCATTCAGAATATATGTTACTGTATGTGGGAGACAGAGACTAAACTGTAAGAGGGGACTAACAGGAAATATGAAAAACTAAATCCTGCTGTGCTCAGGGCCCAGCCTTTGGATGAGAAGCCACTGGTCAGTACTAGCACTAATAAAACTGCTTCCTGGAAGAAAAGCCTTGGCATTCTGTCTCTGTATCAAACTCCTCCTGCAACATAGCTTCCTGTGTTGGGATTATAGACATGCCCTATCTAGCAGCAAGAGTTTTCTTCATAGACTCTTACTTAGCCTTATAAGATACTAGAGAGTATTAGCTGTCTTCTCTTTTTTTTTATTTTTTTTATTTTATTTTATTTATTTATTTTTTTTTTTTTGGTCTTTTTGAAACAGGATCTCCCTGTAGTCCCAGCTGGCCTGGATTCTCAATGGAGACCATCCTGCCTCTGCCTCCCAAGTACTGGGATTAAAGGCGTGTACCACCATGCCTGGCCCTCTTTTATTTTTAAGTTCGTATGCATGTGAGTACAGGTGCCCACAGAGGCCAGATCAACACTTGCTCTTGGAAACCTGACCTGACATGGGTACTAGGAAGCAAACTCAGGTCCTCTGCAAGAGTAGTACCTGCTCCTAACCACTGAGCCATCTCTTCAGCCCCTTAGCCATCTTCTCACCTCATGGCTCTTAGACGATACCTTGTGGAGACTCCGTTAAGAGGAAAATTTTATTGCTGGAACAGAAAAGGGAGCTGGAGAGATGGCTCATCGGTTAAGAGCACTGGCTGCTCTTGCAGAGGGCCTGGGTTCAGTTTCTAGCACCCAGATGGTGGCTAAAAACCATCCTAACTCCAGTTCCAGTGGATCCAGTACACTCTTCTGACATCTGCCGGCATTGCAGGACACATGTGCACTCACAAACATGTAAGCATAACACACATAAAATAATAAATAAAGTATTTTTTTAAAAAAAACATGAGTCAGCCAGGCGTGGTGGCACACGCCTTTAATCCCAGCACTTGGGAGGCAGAGGCAGGCAGATCTCTGTGAGTTCAAGGCCAGCCTCATCTACATAGTGAGTTCTAGGACAGCTGGGGCTACAGGGAGACCCTGTCTCAAAAAGACAAAAAAAAAAAAACATGAATCAAAGCTGGGTATGGCAATGCATGCCTATAATCTTGGGAGAGGGCATCAGGAGGATCAGGAATTCAAGGTCATCCATTAAAGAGCCTGTCTCTAAAAACAAAAGACCATAACTATAACCTCCCATTTCACTTGAGAAATTTAGATACAAAGAAAGTAGTTTGCTCAAAGCCTTTCAACCAAAAGAGCATCTGCCTTTGCATTAGTAAACTTGGAATTTCTATCTCAGTGTCACTATTAATGACATATTAATTGTAAACTTAGTAGAAAAATGCTTGCCCAGTCTATGATCCCAGCACTCAGAAGGCTGAATCAGAAAGATCTTATGCTCTGGTTTCAGGGCTGGAGAGATGACTCAGCAGTTAAGAGTACTGACTGCTCTTTTGAGCTGGGCTTGGTGACGCATACCTTTAGTCTCAGCACTCGGGAGGCAGAGGCAGGTGGATTGCTGAGTTCAAGGCCAGCCTGGTCTATATAGTGAGTTCCAGGCCAGCTGGAGCTACAGGAAGACCCTGTCTCAAAAAGACCAAAAAAAAAAAGTACTGGCTGCTCTTGCAGAGGACCCAGGTTCGGTTCCCAGCATCTCCAGTTCCAGGAGATTTGATGCCTTCTGGCCTTTTCAGCATTGCACAACATGGCTGCATTCACATACACTCAGGCAAAACACTCATTCACAGAAAATAAAAATATGGGCATTGTAGCACACGCCTTTAATTTCCAGGCCTTGAGAAGCAGGGGCAGGAGGATCTCTGTGAGGTTAGACCAGCCTGGTTCACTTGAGTTCCAGGCAGGCTGGGACTAGGAGGACCCTGTCAAAAAACAAAAAACAAAAAAAAAAAAGAAAGAAAGGAAAATAAATAATAATTTAAAAAAAGCTCTGGTTTCAGACCTGGTTTTGGTTATTTAGCCTGAAGTCTTAGGTAAATTTTGAAGCCTTGTTAAGCTTCAGTTCATCTCTCTATTAACTAAAAAGTAGTCATAGTAACAACTTAAGAGTCATTGGGAAGATTAAACAAGGCAGTCTGATAAGTGAGATAGAGGTAAATGGCATCTAGAAGGGACAGGATATCTGTCTTTTTCCATTTGTTTTATTCTTTATTTTTTGTTGTTGTTGTTTTGGTACCAGTTCTCAGTTTGTAGCTCTGGTTGGCCTGGAACTTCTATGTTAACCAAGCTGGCCTTGGACTCACAGAGATCCACCTCCTAAATTCTGGGTTAAAGGCATGTGTCTAGCCATATCTGTGTTCTAGTAGATCCCCCTGTTGCCTTTCTATCACATTACAGTGACTCAGAGGTTTGGGGGTTATAGGTGTCCCTTATTCATAGGTGTCCTTTTTTCCCCTGTGAGCTTAGGACTGCCCCTGACTTTTCCTCTCTGATTTAGGATCCCAAGTACCCTGTGGAAAACTTGCTGAACCCAGACAGTCACAGGGGACCTTGGCTCAGCTGCCCTCAGGACAAGAGTGGGCAACTGAAAGTGGAACTACAGCTGGAGAGGGCAGTGCCTATTAGCTACATCGATGTCGGTGAGCAAGTTCTCAAGGCCTTCAGGACCTCGCGGAGAATTCCTCTCAGATGTCTCAGTTCATTCTGGCTGAGCAGCTTTCTAGAAAAACCTCTGCCTGGATGTGAAGGAGAAATGTGGCCTTTGCCCTTGGGGCAGGTTTGTCCTTGGAGTACTTCAGGGGCTCAGGAAGGGAGACAGCTCCATTGGTAAAGCAGGAGGACCTGAGTTTAATCCCCAGAACCCATGTTTTTAAAAAGCCAACCATGGGCTTGGGGAGATGGCTCAGCTCAATAAAGTGTTTGCCACCTAAGTTCAAATACCCAGAAATCACATAAAGCCAGATAAAGTAATGCACGACTGTAATCTCAGTGCTCCCATGGGCAGCTGACAACAAGGAAACCCTGTCTCAAACAAGGTGGAATGGGAGGACTGACACTAGAGGTTCACCGCTGACCTCCACACACATGTGGGCAGTCCCACACATACAAATACACACACACACACACACACACACACACAGAACCAGGAATGGTGGCAGATGCTTGTAATCCCAGTGCTGGAGAGGTAAAGAGAGGAGGCTCCCTGGAGCTCACTGGCCAGCCAGCATGGTCTGCTTGGCAAGTTCTAGGCCAGGGAGAGACCATGTCTCAAAAAGATAGATGGACAGTGCCTGAGGAACAACACCCAAGGTCCTTCTCTGGTCTCCATAAATACTTGTGTGCATGTATGTGTGTACACACACACACACACACACACACAGAATACAGTGTGAATAGGGTTCCTGGAATTATGCTGTGAACTGCCTCACCTCAATCTGTGTAATCTGGGTAAAGCCTTAGGACACCCACATAATCATAAATGCCAAAGAATAGAACCAACACACATATCTAATATTAGTGTCAGGAAGACTGGAAAGGTAACCTGTGCATAGGATTAAGGAAGCTCGCTTTACAATTCTCTAGAATCCAGAACTGTTGGAAACCACTGGTCTTGGCCTTCTGAGGACAGAAAGATGTTCGGTTCCCTAACAGTGCCTTCCAGGGCAGGTTCCAAACTGGGAGGACCATGGAACACCTTCACATCATCATTTAGTGGCCTGGGGTTTCACCCCATTCAAGCTGCTGGCTCCCTGTGTGACATGTTGCCAGTCCCTTGCACCTAGCTCTAGAGTGGAGTGCCCCCTTCCCACCCAGTTCTCTTGCCTGAGGTTGTTCCATCACCCTATCCTCTCAATTTTTGGTCCTCAGGTAACTGTGGCTGTGCTTTCCTGCAGATTGATGTGGGACGTTCTTCCTGGCCCCCCAACAGGCCTTTCGTCACCCTGCTCCCTGCAACCATGCTAATGTCCCTCAGTGACTCAAAGCAGGGGAGGAACCGCTCAGGGGTCCGGATGTTTAAAGATGGTAAAGAGGGCAAAAGCAGAAGTGGGGAATGTTCCTAAATATCTGTGATTTGTTGGCGGCTGATACAGAGCACATACCTGCTGCTTGCCATGTTTTAGGGGTAGGGGGTACACTGGATGATTGGTTGGTTGGTTGGTTGGTTGGTTGGTTGGTTGGTTGGTCAGTCGGTTGGTTGAGACAGGGTCTCAATATGAAATTCAGGCTGGCCTTAAACACATGATCCTCCTGCCTCAGCCTACTAAGTACTAGAATTATAGGCATGTGCTACCACACTAAGGGAATGCTGTGTTTTCGTTTGAATAAATGTGGGTGGTTCAGCCAGGCGTGGTGGTGCACGCCTTTGATCCCAGCACTCAGGAGGCAGAGGCAGGTGGATCTCTGTGAGTTTGAGGCCAGCCTGGTCTCTATTAGTGAATCCAGGCCAGCTGCAGCTACAGAGAGACCTTGTCTCAAAAAGATCAAAAGAAAAACAACAACAACCACAAAAAAAAACCAATCCCTAGCACCACAAAAAAAGGAAAAGAAAAAAAGCTGCAAAATGAATTTTTATGTGATAAAGAGCTATATGGATGACTATATGTTATAAATAGCTTTTCATGAATTCTGCTTATATAAATCTCTGTGTTCACTGGGCACTGTAAAATGCATAAAATATGGGGCTGGAGAGATGGCTCAGCCGTTAAGAGCACTGACTGCTCTTGCAGAGGACCTGGGTTTGATTCCCAGCACCCACATGGTAGAGAACCATCCTTAACTCCAGTTCCAGGGGAATCCGAAGCCCTCTTCTGACCTCCACGGCATTGCACAACACGGGTGCGCTCACATACATGCAGGCAATACACTCATACACACACAAAAAAATAAAAATAATAAAATTTTTTTAATGCATAAAATATGATTCATGGACTCTAGAGAGTTGCAGTTTGGTAAGAGTTTGAGTTTAAAGTGGAGGTGTTGTAATTGTAAAGGAAGAGTGAGATTGGAGGGGATAACATAGCAACTGGATAATGTTAGGAATCAAAGATGTGACATTCATGACATTGGTGTACCATACTTTAGTGAATGTATAGAACATATAGCAGTTTGAAGGAAGTTGCACCCTTGTGGTCCAGGAAGGGGTGGTATCCCAGCCAATCCACTGAGGAAGTGATCTATATGCCAGCACTGCAGATAGCTCCTGCTAGAGTGATAGTGGTGAGGTCCTTCAGGGAGTGTAGTGATTTACTCTAGCTGAGAAGGCATAGAACTATGATGGAGGACTGGTGATTGGAAGACAAGGGCTAGGCTGTCTGGCATGTCTTTCCCAGAGCATTAAAGCCTGAGAGGACATGTACTGATAGTCATCCTCCTGCTGTTGGCCCTTACTGTATATCGCCTGTCTTGTCTTTCCTTTCTCCCTTCCTGCCCACTAACCGTTAATGCAATGTTTTGTCTCCTCAGTTGCTCCCCGTACCCCAGAGTCTCATGTAGTCCAAGCTACTTTGTAATCAAGGCTGGTCTTGAGTACCTAATCCTCTTGCCTCTACCTCCCAGGTGCTAAGCATGCACCACCACCATGTCTATCTCTCTCTCTCTCTTTCTTTCTCTCCCCCTCTCTCTCTCTTTTTAAGATTTTATTTTGATTCTTTGGGGGGCCATGTTTTTGAGAAAAGGTCTCCCTGTAGCCACAGCTGGCCTGGAAATCACTATGTAGACCAGGTTGGCTTCAATTTCATAGAGATCTGCCTGCCTCTGCTTCCTGAGTATTAGGATTAAAGGCACGCACCACCACACCAGGCTTATTTTTTAATTTTGTGTGTGTGTCTGTATCTCTGTGTACATGAGTACAGGTGCTCATAGAGGCCAGAAGAGGATGTTGGATCCCCTGCAGATGAAGTTAGAGGTAGTTGTGAGCTGCCTGACATGGGTTGTGAAATTGGTCTCTGCAAAAGCAGTAAGTATTCTTAACCCTGAGCCATCTCTCCAACCCCTATTTTTTCTCTTTTTCCTTAAGATAATTTCCTGACTCCAGCCTCGGGAGAATCATGGGATCGACTTCGACTGACCTGCTCCCAACCTTTCACACGTTATCAATCCTTTGGCTTGGCCTTCTTTCGGGTACGCTCCTCTCTGGATTCCTTAGCTGACCCTGTGATGGAGCCTTCAGCCTCTGGGAGTTGTGGGCTGAGCCCGGTATGTACAGTAGCATAGCAAGCATTTAGTTTTCCCTCCCTTTTTTTTTTTCTGTCTTTTTGAGACAGGGTTTCCCTATAATCCCAGCTGACCTTGAACTTGCTATATAGACCAGGCAGGCCTTGAACTCACAGAGCTCTGCCTGCCACTGCCTCCCAAGCGCTGGGATTAAAGGCATGCGCTAGCACACTGCGCTTTCCTCCCTTTACACTTCTTGGTTAGGTGTCTGATGCCTGATTCAGGGATAAGTACAGGCGCATGCCCGTACACATATATATATATATAGATAGATATCTGTGGAAAGACCAAAAAGAAAAGAAAAATATTTATTTTTTATTTTATGTGTATGTGTAAGTGCACCTGTGTTGTGCAATGTTCAGGGAGGTTAGAAGAGAGTGTCAGAGTCCCTGGAACTGGAGTTATGGACAGTTGTTAGCTGCCATGTGGGTGCTGGGAATCAAACCCTGATCCTCTGCAAGAGCAGCCAGTGCTCTTAACCACTGAGCCACCTCTCCAGCCCCTGAAGTTCTTTTTGAATCTCAGCTTAACCTCGTACTTGTGTTATTTCTGGGTTCCTGAGAGCTTTCACTTTCAGCACCCAAAAGCCCCAAGGCTCCCTTGCAGCCCCTTCTGTCATTGTTTCCTGCCCCACCTGCTTTTTGAAGCCTTCTGTATCTTAAGATATGCGATCAGCTATGTATTTGTTCTCACTGTGCAACACGTATGTGCTCCTCAAAGACATAGGTTTCTGGCCCTGAGGCCATATGGATTGCTTCATCTTTTCTCAGCCAGTTGTTTGCTTCCATTTCCTTCTTATGCCTATTCTGGTACCTCCAATTGCCTTTCTGAGCCAGCATACTCCATCACAATTCACTCAAATATGAATGTATAGCCAGGCGTGGTGGCGCATGCCTTTAATTCCAGCAGTCAGGAGTCAGAGGCAGGTGGATCTCTGTGAGTTCAAGGCCAGCCTGGACTCTGTAGTGAGTTCCAGGACAGCTGGGGCTACAGGGAGACCCTGTCTCAAAAAGACAAAAAAAGAAAAGAAACTGGCGGCATAGCCAGGCATGGTGGCCACACCTTCAATCCCACCATTTCACCAGCCAGGGCTACATAATGAGACCCTATCTCAAAAAAAATGAAAGAAAAACAACTAACTAACTAGGGCCTGGAGAGATGACTTAGTGGTTAAGAGCTTGTATTAATTACTTTTCTGTTGCTGTGATAGAAACACTGAGCAAAACAACTTATAAAAGAGTTTATTTGAGCTTATGGCTCCAAGAGGCAAGAGTCGTTTGTGGCCGGGAAGCATGGCGGCAGAGGTGACTGAAGAGCTTAGCAGAAGCTAAGCTCTCACATCTTCAAGCAGGCACAGGAAACAAGAAGGCAACTCAAGACCCAGCAAAGCTTAAGAACTCTCTAAGCCCACCCCCTGTGACATGCTTCCCCCAGGATAGCCACACCTTTTAAGACCTCCCAAAACAGCACCACCATCTGGGGACAAAATGTTCAAATACTTGTAGCCTCCAGGGGATATTTTCATTCAAACCACCGCAGAGTTCATACTGTTCTTTCAGAGGATTCAAGTTCAGTTCCCAGCATCCACATTGGGTGGCTCACAACTGCCTGTAACTCTAACTCCAAGGGAATCCGATACCTCTGGGTTCTGTGGGCACCAATATTTGTGTGCATATACTCACACACATACACATAATTTAAAGTGAAGTAAGTCTTAAAAAAGAAAAGAACCAGGTATGGTGGCACACACCTTTAATCCCAGCACTTGGGAGGCAGAGGCAGGTGGATCTCTGTGAGTTCCAGGCCAGCCTGGTCTACATAGTGAGTTCCAGGACAGCTGGGGCTATAGGGAGACCCTGTCTCAAAAAGACCAAGATAAAAAAAAGAACGAAGGGCCCAAGTGTCTCAGTGGAAAAAGACTCCTGCCACCAAGCCTGATAATCTGAGTTCAATCCTCAAGACCCACATAGTGGAAGGAGAGGACAGACTTCTCGAGTTGTCCTCTGACCTCCACACTGCTCTGTGGCACATTCTCACACACACACAAATAAATAAATGTTTCTTTGGGGTTTTAAAACATTTTATTATTTTTATTTTATGTGTATGAGTGTATTGCCTGCATGTATGTGAGCGTACCCATGTTGTGCAGTGCCTCGGAGGTCAGAAGAGGGCTTCAGATTCCCCTGGAACTGGAGTTAAGAATGGTTCGTAGCCGCATGTGAGTGCTGGGAATTGAACCCAGGTCCTCTGCAAGAGCAGTCGGTGCTCTTAACCACTGAGCCATATCTCTAGCCCCAAATGTTAATCTTTTTAAAAAAAAATTTTAGGACTGTAGAGTTGACTATGGTTAAGAGCACTTGCTACAGAGGACCTGAGTTCAGTTCCCAGCACCCATGTGGCTGGTAAAAGCCAACCATAACTCCAGTTCCAAGGGATCCAAAACCCTCTTCTGTCCTTCATGGGCATTGCATTTACATGCAGAAAAAAAATACATGTTAAATAAAAAATAATCAATTAAAAAAAAGTTTGAGACAAGGTTTCCCTGTAGCTCAATCTCACTGAAATCTGCCTGGCTAACCTCAGTCTCAGAGATCTGCGTACCTCTGCCTCAGTTCCCTCATGTTTATAGTGAAAGTGTTAACCCAAATTGTATATAAGCCTGTTGTGGTATTAACCAAGATCTCTGTGAGATGGAGGCTAGCCTGGTCTACATAGCAAGTTCCAGGCCAACTGGGGCTACAGGGAGACCCTGTCTCAAAAAAAAAAAAAAAGTTTGCACATGAACTCAGTCTCCAAAAACCTGTTTTTCCTAAAATGTGATTGTTTTCTGTCCAGAACCATAACAAAACCCTTAGCATACAATAGCATAGAATCTCAGATCTTAAAGCCTTAAAAGAACTGGAGTCTGCAAACACCAGCAAGTATGTACATGTTACCAGTTAAGATCACCTTGCATTCCTAGGTGGCAGTGCCTCCTGGTGGTGAAGCTGAGTATTCCATGTTTCTCCATTTTCTCAGGGCTCCCCTGATGCTCAGGAATCTGATCCTAGCCCCTGGCTGGCCAATCCTTCTATCCGGAGGACGTTCTTCCCAGATCCCCAGACGTATGTACCTGCCATTGTTGAGATATTTCTCCTGAAAGAGAAAGACCACATTACTCACAGGCCCACACTCCCAGCCCTTGTCCCCACAGTTAATCACCTAGGCCTAACTCTGTGTGTCAAACCGTCTTTCTCAGTAAGATGCCACTGAGTTGAGTGAATAGAATGAGGTTTGTGTTCCAAGTGAAGCCAAGTACTCTCTGTTTCCTGCAGGAGCGCTAAGGAAATGTCAGAGCTCAAGGGCATGCTAAAGCAGTTGCAGCCAGGTGCACTGGGGCGGTCAGCCCGCATGGTGCTTTCTGCTGCCTGCAGGGCACCTCCAGCCAGTGTGGCAAAGAACAACCATGTGGAACCAAGTCCCAGTCATCCAAAGAACGCAGGTGAGACCTCGTGTTATACTGCTTACCGTCCTAGTAATGTCCTTCCTCCCTGACTTTACCTCTGCTGTACTCGGATAACTCACTAGTAAGACTTGGAGTGGAAGAAAAGACATTGTCAGGGAAGAAGACAAATCAAGTATTGTATAATATTTGAAAGAGCACATGGTCTTGGAACCAGGAACCCCTATCTTTGGGGGCCTCAATTCCTTTCACATCTCCAGTGAAAGGGTTAAACTAAATAGAACCTAAGCCTTTTGCAGTATCAGTGTTCTGTAATAATCTCAGGAAAACAATTCAGTCAAGCCCAACATAGTGGTGAATGTATGTAATCCCAACACTTGGGAAGTGGAGAAGGCAAAATGATTAGCAACTCAGGGCCCTTCTCAGGTACATAGAGGGTTCTGGGAAATATCAGACCCTGTCTCAGAAAGAAAAAGAAACTGGAGAGATATCTCAGTGGTTAAGAGCACTGCTCTTACAGAGGACCTGAGTTCATTTCCCAGAACCCACATCAGGTGACTCACAATTGCCTGTAACTCCAGCTCCAGGGGATCTCATGCCCTCTTCTGGCCTCTGCGGCATTGCACAACATGGGTGCACTCACAATCATGCAAGCAATACACAGCTCAGCAGTTAAGAACACTGGTTGTTCTTGCAGAAGACCCAGGTTCGTATCCCAGCACCCACATAGCAGCTAACAACTGTGTAATTCCAGTTCCAGGGATCCAACAGCCTCTTCTGTCCCTCCGCGGGCATTGCACAACATGGGTGCACTTACCTACATGCAAGCAATACACACATACATATAAAATTAAAAAACAATAATAACTTTTTTTAATTTGAAAAAAAAATTTTTTTTTAACATCTTACCCTCAAGTTTATTTGTAAAAACAGCACAGGACACCAGCCCTCTGCAAACAGTGGGGAGGGACGTCACACCAGTCCATCTGTCTTCACATTGGCAAAGACCTTTATTGTGGGGCCTCCACAGGGACCTGGGTACCTTTGGGAGCCTGAGCTGCAGCTGGAGCCTGGGTTTTAGCTGGAGCTGCAGCCCCAGCTTTGGCCTTTGGTTGGCAGAGCCTGCGACCCTTGGCCATGTAGCCACAAATCCACTTCCCAAGTTTGGGGTGAGCAATGAGAGCAAGTCCGCGGAGCTTGCTGTTGTTCCCTTTGGCATCTTGGGCTTAACATTCTTGGGCTTCACAAGGGCCTTGACAGCCTGGGCACACGCACTCATGGCTTTCTCATTGTTGGCCTGCATCTTCTTCAGACCCTTCCTCTTGTGCTTCTTGGCAAAATACATGTTCCTCAGGAACTTGGGGTCTACCCCATTAAGAGACTCATCTTTGTGACCATGGTTTCTTGATGCCATTTCTGTGCCATTTTCGAGACTGGTTGTGTGTGGTATGGTTCTTGGACTTGGCCATGTCTACATGGGATCCCACGGCTCCAAAAGTGCCTGGGACCGGAAGAGAAAGAGCTCTTAACCACTGAATCAGCTCCCCAGCCCTATTTAATGAGCATTTCTAACACAGACCCCAGAACAAAGGAGCAAGAAGAAAAAAATGACATGGGCAGGACAAAGAGAAGAAAAGTACAGGACCAAAGGTAAGTAGATGGCACAGTCCAAACATCCAGACCTCACTGCTCTTCTGCAGCTATCCTTCCTCTATTCCTGCTTCAGTAAGGTTGGGGACTCTTATGTCGGGGTCTTGATCTTTTAGACTTCAGTTAAGGAGAAAGATGTCCTTGTCCACATGTCCTCAGGCTCGGCCATAAGCAAGGAGGCAGCCCTTAGTGAACCAGAATCTGAAGATGAGTACACTGCATCTGATCACAGTATGAACCTTGTGGCTTAGGCCTGTAATCCCAGCACTTGGGAGGCTAAGGTAGGAGGATTGCAAATTTAAGGCCAGCCTAGGCTACTAGATTACATAATGAACTTAAAGCCACTCTGGGCTACAGGCAAGACCCTAACTCAAAAAGAAAAAAGTTAAATTAGTGATTGCCAGTATCTACAGAGACAGACAGAAAAATGGGGAGTGGCTGAGGCTGGGTTAGGGGTTCTTTTGTAGTTGATAGAAATGTTCTGGAATTAGTTACATTTATTCAACCTGTGAAAATATTAAGCTACACTTGTACTTTTATTTTTGGAAATTTTTATTGAATTTTTGTGTATTTCATACAGAACATCCTAATCTCCTAATCATCTTTAAATCCCCTTCCCCATTGGCACCTCCCATAGTTCCCCCATGCACTGGAATTCGTGCATTCTGTCATTTGTGTTAAGGCCTATTGAGTCAAGTCAGTGTCCCCAGAGATCCCTGAGTGCAAGTTCATCCACTAAGCTACACTTTTAAACTGTCGCTGTCTCAGTGGTTAAGAGCACTTACTGTGCTGGCCATGGTGGTGCATACCTTTAATCCTAGCACTTGGGATACAGAAGCAGGTGGATCTCTGTGGGATCAAAGCCAGCCTTGGCTACATCATGAGTTCCAGGCCAGCTAGGGCTACAGGGAGACCCTGTCTCAAACCAAAAAAAAGGAAAGGAAAAAAAGAATACCAGGATGACTAGGCTTTGATTGGAGAATCCAGGGAAAGGGCCTCCTAGGAATAAGCATTTCATCTAAGACTTGAAAAATGGGAAAGAAGCAAGCAAAGAAGGTAGAAAACTGTTCACAAAAGAAGTAATATAGGTGCTGGAGAGATGGCTCAGTGGTTAAGAGCACTGGCTGCTCTTACAGAGGGCTTGGGTTCAGTTCCCAGCACCCACATACCTGCTGACAGCCATCTGTAACTCCAGTTCCAGGGGCTCCAGCTCCTTCTTCTGACCTCTGTGGGCACTGCACAACACAGGTGCATTTGCACATATACAAGTAATATGTTCATACACATAAAATTAAAATAATAATTTTTTTTAAGTATATAGGGGCTGGAGAGATGGCTTAGAGGTTAAGAGCACTGACTGCTTTTGCAGAGAATCCAGGTTTGATTCCCAGCACCCACATGGCTGGCTACAAACCGTCCTTAACTCCAGTTCCAGGGGAACCCAACACTCTCTTCTGACCTCCGCCGTTTTGCAGGACACGGGTGCACTCACATACATGGAGGTAATACAGTCATAAACATAAGCCAGGAGTGGTGGCGCACGCCTTTAATCCCAGCACTGGGAGGCAGAGGCAGGCAAATCTCTGGGAGTTCAAGGCCAGCCTGGTCTACAGTAGTGAGTTCCAGGACAGCTGGGGCTACAGGGAGACCCTGTCTCAAAAAGGCCAGAAAAAATAAGTATATAAGATGTAAAGGTCTTTTGCAAACAGCTAGAGGACCTGGGTTACAACCCTTTTTTTTTTTTTTTTTCTTTTTGAGACAGGTCTCCCTATAGTCCTAGCTGGCTTGGAACTCACTATGTAGACCAGGCTGGCCTTGCACTGACCAACATCGCCTGCCTCTGCCTCTGCCCCCTGAGTGCTGGGATTAAAGGCATGCGCCACCACGCCTGGCGTTTTTAAAATATTTTATTTTTTATTTATGTGGATGAGCATTGCTTGTATGTATGTAAGTGCACCCATGTCATGCAATGCCTGTAGAGATCAGAAGAGGGCATTAGATCCCCTGGAACTGGAGTTACGAACGGTTATTAGCCACCATGTGGCTGTTGGGAATCAAACCCCAATCCTTTGCAAGAGCAGCCGGTGCCTTAACCACTGAGCTATCATTCCAGCCCTGTAGGTTCACAACCTTTTGTAACTCCAGTTCCAGGGGATCCAGTGCCCTTTTCTGGCCTCTGAGGGCACCCACATACATGTGGTGCACATCCATACAATCAGGTAAAACACACATTAAATAAAAATAATCTGGGGGCTGGAGAGATGGTTCAGCGATTAAGAGCACTGGATGCTCTTGCAGAGATTCAAATCCCAGCACTCACATGGCAGCTAACAACTGTCTGTAACTCCAGTTCTAGGCAATCTGATACCCTCTTCTGACCTCTGCAGGTATCACACAACATGGGTGCACTTACATACAGGCAATACACTCAAACGCATAAAATAAAAGTAATAAATAAAAATGTTTTTTAAAATAATCTGTTAAAAAAATGTTAAAACTCAGAGCAGTGATAAAAGCTCTTCTCTGAAATGCTTGAAGGTTGAATGTCTGCTCTTCAACATGTCTACATTCTTGTCCAAATTCTAGTGTCCTTCAGCTTTTGTGGTCTCTCTGAGATAGCTGGTCTTAACCTATTCTTTCTTACAGGCGTCTGTCCAACTTGAGTTCTCGGACAAATAGGAGGGCGGTATCCAGAGCAAGGCAAAGAGAACACCAACCCCACGCCCAAAACAGTGTTGTCCAGTCTAGTGGACACTGTCCCATTTGCGCAGGTAAGTGCTTCAGCCAGAGACGGGTGTGATGACCAGCCATTTCTTTAGGAGAGTGCTGGCAAGAAATACTGGGTGAAGGTCGGCGGGGGCAGGGGCGGGAAGCAGCACACAGACACCTGGCTCAGTGGGGAGAGCACCTGCTACACAAGCATGAAGACCTGAATTTGGATCTCCAGCATAACATAAAACCTGGACATGGCAGCCCACATCTGTAACTCCAGTGCTCAGGGTACAGAGGCAGATAGCTCCCTGGGACCTGGTGACAACTTGTGAGCTGCAGGCTCAATAAGAGACCGTTTCAGAAAATTAGGTAGAAAAGCAATTAAGACATCCCAATGTTGATGTCCGACCTACACACACATGCACACCAGACAGTGTGCTCATACATGTACACACACCACACATTTTGATTTGGGCTGGACTGATGGTGATGGGGATGTTCTTTGTGCTCACAGCTTACCTTCTCCCTCTGTAAGGGCAGTCCATACCCCTCAGCTCCTAACCTACTATGAGACACATAGGAAATGCTTAATAAATGTTTGACAGATAAATGATAGTGTCTCCTAAATGTGGAATATTCAGCCATGGCAAATTTTCAAGAACAGCTGCATTTGGGCAGCAGACACTCCCTTTGTGTATCTCAGGGTAGCAGCTTGCCTGGAAACAAACCCCATTTTGTTTGTCTCCTTGTTCCCTCCGTAGGCTCCTTCAGCATTGAGATTCTTCCCCTGCATGCTGCCACTTGTGGAGAGACCTCCCCACCTCAGCCAGCTTCTCCCTCCTCCTCCTCTTCCTCCTCCTCCTCCTCCTCCTCACAGTCTGTACTGTGGGTGTCCTCCCCAGAGAGCTCACCACCTGTTTGCTGGATCCAGTGTCCCATCTGTGAGTTGCAGTTCTCAACAAAAGAAATAGAAGAACATGCCAGCATGTGTGGGGACATTTTTCTAGCATGAGCCATAAGGTCCTGTGGCCCCTCCATGACAGAGCCTGGGGACTGGATCTCTTGTGACTGAGAAGGGTTGGTGATACCCAGCCTCTCTCCCCCTCCACTCATTACCTCAGGACTCCACCTGCCTGAGAGTACCTCTGGATCCAGCTTGCTCCCCATCCCCAGTTGTCAAGGTTTTGTCACTATGGTACCCAATTCTCATAAGAGCACCTCTTTCCTTTTCCCCTTGGAACTTCTTGGGTAGAATTGATAATTGCTCCAGGACCTTGGTACACAATCGTGAAAGCCTTTCCCTCAGTGAATAGTGCACATACTCATGCCCATTTTTCTAAAAGGAAAACTGAGGCCCACTCAGAAGAAAAATATTGCCTGAAAATTACAAGCATATGATGTTCTGGGAAGATAAGAGTAAGTCTTGACCATGACATTGACATCTAGTTTCACATGATCTTAATTTTCTGTCTCCTTTGTGGGTTCCTGTCCTAAGTATAATCGGGTAATAGTGCTGTTCTGTGACTTTAGCAAGTTATTTAATCTTGGGCCTCAGTACTGAGAGAATAACCCCTCATCCTCCTGATCCCAGAGCTGTTATACAAACAGGTTACTTTTTCTACAGAATGAATAGTTCTAGGCTTGGCTATAAAGACCTTGAGCAAATCTGTTCCCATCTGTGCCATGAGGTAATTGGACCATGGTGTCTCTTCTATGTCTGCTGGTACTGATATTCCAAAATCTGCTTCTTTGCAGAATTATGCACTCCTTCCCTTCTTCCCAGGAGATGTCATTGTGTGGTATTAATACTAGTTCCCCTATCCCCAAGGGTTCAGGGCAGAGGGTGAACAGCTGGTCCTGGCAAGGGGAGGGCCAGGGAAGGTTTTTGAGTGGGGAGGAAAGGGAATACTAGGCACAGTCAAGGGAGGAGACAGCAGGAGTTCAAGCTTTTGATCCCTGCCCACAGAAGTAGATGCAGCATGGACCCCCTCATGGTAAGCGACCCTCTCCTCCCCCTGCTTTCCCCCATCCCAGTTCTGGTTCTAGCTATGAGCAAAACAAACTGGCCCAGAGAGATGGCAGGCCTGGCTGTGCTGGACACTGCTGTGTGGGTGGAAGATCCCTAGAGCCCTGGGCCTGGGTCTAGAGATGTGCAATGAGGATGGGCCTGGTAGACGAGCAGACCAGACCGCACCAAGGAGGAGGGCCACCCTCCAAAGCACGAGGGGGAGAAGGGAAGGGGCTTCATGGAGGAGGGGCATATTAGATCCTGCTAGGAGACTTTTGGGAGACCACTGGGGGCTTGGGGAAAGCCAGTTCAAAGACCTTCCTGTGTAGCTGTGTCTGAGCTTGCCATTCAGAGAAATGAGCAGCTGCAAGATAGAGTCAGCAAGATGGTTGCTGGGTCCTGCTGGGTCCTGTGTGCTTTCATGGCTTAGGCCCAATGTGGCCCTGTCCTACTTTAACCATGCTTTCTAGAGTACCTATTATCTGAGGTTGTGAGAGGAAGTTGAGCTGTGGAAACATTCCCCTCTTCTCCCATCAGGCTCATTCTAGCATTTTCTGAATATGAACCTATACAATAAAATGATGAGTAAGCATCTTGGGCAGTATGTGTTTGGGACAAGGAAGCACACTGGTGGCAGGTTACAGAGGGTTAGGGCTAGAAGGTGGAAGGTGAAGGAGGCCCCCAAACAGAGGGGACTGGAAACTCAGCACCCTGCCCGCTCCTCTCCATCCAGTTGCAACCCAACTGGAATGAGATTGTGAACAAAAAGCTCAAGTTCCCACCTATGCTTCTGAGTGCCATCCAGGAGGGGCGGCTGGACCTGGTGCAGCAGTTGCTGGAGTCAGGGTCAGACGCCGCAGGCACTGGGCCAGGTCCTCAGAGGAATGTGGAGGAAGCTGAGGACCGCTCCTGGAGGGAGGCTCTCAACCTGGCCATCCGCCTGGGCCATGAGGCTATCACCGATGTGCTGCTGGCCAATGTCAAGTTTGACTTCCGGCAGATCCACGAAGCGCTGCTGGTGGCAGTGGACACAAACCAGCCAGCGGTGGTACGTCGCCTGCTGGCCCGGCTAGAACGGGAGAAGGGTCGCAAGGTAGACACCAAGTCTTTCTCCCTGGCCTTCTTTGACTCATCCATTGATGGCTCCCGCTTTGCCCCTGGAGTCACTCCACTCACCCTGGCCTGCCAAAAGGACCTATATGAGATCGCACAGCTGCTCATGGACCAGGGCCACACCATTGCCCGGCCGCACCCAGTCTCCTGTGCCTGCCTTGAATGCAGCAATGCCCGCCGCTATGACCTGCTCAAGTTCTCCTTGTCCCGCATCAACACCTACCGGGGCATCGCCAGCCGCGCCCACCTCTCACTGGCCAGCGAGGATGCCATGCTGGCTGCCTTTCAGCTCAGCCGCGAGCTCCGGCGCCTTGCACGCAAGGAGCCCGAGTTTAAGGTTTGTGTCCCCTGCTCCGTCCTCACAGGGGCAGGACTGAGCCTGAAGTGGGTGTTCTAGAAAGTCTAAGAAGTGAGAAGCAGGGCAAGAGGATAAGGCTTTCCCTTGTTCTCAGAGTCACAATCCCACCTGAACAGAGTGTCTTTCTAAAGTCAGAGAAGTCACAAGAGGCACCTCAACTTATGCAGGAGGTACAACTCCTGCCCCAGAGGTGCTCTAGACTGATCTGAAGGAAGAGAGAACATAAATAGAGCATGTCTCTGTGGGACCCACTGTGCTTTCAGCTGGAGCATGTATGTTGGAGCTCTCAAGCTTGTGATCACAGATGGGGGAAGAGGACAAGATATTTCCAGGACTTCATTCAGTGCCTCTGTGGATGGTGGTGTGCACAGGGCTTCCAAAGTGTGGAAGGCTTCCAGGAAAGTGTTGACTATTGTGTTCAGGGAAGATCTCTTAGAGGCTGAGGCATTAAGCTTAGCTGTGGAAAAGAAAGGTTTAGAGTGAAGAGGAGTGGGGAAGATAGTTGAAGTGGGCTGCAACCCCAGCAAAAGGTAAGTGATGAGGAGCTAAAGATGAAACTGAGTTGGGAGAGTGCCTGCCTAATGTGCCTGAAGTCCTGAGTTTGATCCCCAGCACTGCATAAACAAAGTGCGGTGGCTCATGCTTGTAATCTCACCACTCAGGTGGAAGGAGGAGGATCAGAGCTTGAGGTCATCCTCAGCAAATTCGAGGCCAGCTGGAATACATTCCCCACAAAAAAAAGTACATGATGATGGGCTGGAGAGATGGCTCAGCAGTTAAGAGCACTGACTGCTCTTGCAGAAGACCCGAGTTCAATTCCCAGCACCCATATGGTAGCTAACCACCATCTCTTGCCTTCAGTTCCAGGGGATCTGATGCCCTCTTCTGGCCTCTGTAGGCTTTGCGTGGCATGGGTACACTTATATACATGCTGGCTAAACACTCAAATAAAAATAAATAGATAAATAAAATATTTTTAAATATATGATGAATGCAGGAGAGACCTTGAGAGGACCAAGGATGCATGAAGCAGAGCCTAGGGACAGACTGGTCAGGGGCCTGGAACGGCACTCCATCTTGTCTGTCACTGAATCACTGGCATACCCAGTGTGCCAAGTCGGACTTGGTCTCCATACTCAAGATTGCCAGTAGGTGACCTGGTGTGGTGGTCCATGCAATTAATCCAACCCAGCACTCGGGAGGCAGGGCAGGTAGAGCTCTGTGAGATGAGGCCAGCCTGGTCTACATAGCAAATTCCAGGCCAACTGGGGCTACAAAAAGACCCTGTCAACATAATAAATAAAAAGAATGCCAGTAGGTAGGAAAACCTAGAAGGTTATTAAAATGAAAGCCTAAGGTAAGATGTAGCCAGAAGGCCAAGATAATGAAAAGTTCCCTCCATGCCTCCGACAAAGGAGCAGAGCTTGCAAAGGACGTACCCTCCATTCTCATAGCAGCCCATGGAGCGGGCAGGGTAGCAAGTCTCATCCAGACTTTACAGTTCAGAAGACAGCCCTGAAAAAGACATTCCTGATCCAGTGGGACCCTATCTGAGGGACAGTGCTGGGAGGTGACCTAAGCTTCAAAGCTTAGCCTAGAATCCCTCTGGACGAACCCAATTAGCAAGGATCAGATGGGTAGTATACAGCCAAGAACATCCTCATTCTTTTCTACATCTCCTAAAACTGCCAGCACAGGTTCTCAATTCAGGAGATGAATTAAATGAGACATGAAAAGTATAAGGAGTAGGTGCTAGTGAGATGCTCAGTAGGTAAAAGCACTTGCCTGACATCCTGCATTGACTCACCAGAGCTTACGCAAAGGGGGAAGGAAAGAACTGACTCCACAGAGTTGTCCTCTGAGCTCCACACATGCCATGGTATGTATGCCCACATGCACATCATATTACACAATAATCATAAATAAAATTTTAATTTAGGGCTGGGCATGGTGGTACACACCTTTAATCCCAGCACTTAGGAGGCACAGGCAGGCAGCTCTCTTTTGAGTCTGAAGCCAGCCTGGTCTAAATAGTGAGTTACAGGCCAGCCAGAGGTATATAAGACCTAGTCTCAAAAGCAACAACAGAGCTGGGTGTGGTGGTGCACGCCTTTAATTCCACCGCTTGGGAGACAGAGGCAGGCAGATCTCTATGAGTTCAAGTCAAGCCTGGTCTACATAGCAAGTTCCAGGCCAGTTGGGGCTATAGAGAGACCCTGTCTCAAAAAGAAAAGAAAAAGCAAGAACAGGGCTGGAGAGATGGCTCAGAGAACTGTCTAGTCTTGCAGGCTTGCAGGGGACTTGGATTCAGTTCCCAGGACCCACAGGGCCAGCTCCAGGGAATCCAGCACCCTCTTCTAGCCTCCATAGGTTTTGCACACATAGGTACACTTACATATATGCAGGCAAAATACTCATATACATAAAAACTTCTTTAAAATTTTTATTATTTTTATTTTATGTGTATATGTGTATTGCCTACATGTAGGTAAGTGTACCTGTGTCATGCAATGCCCACAGAGGTCAGAAGAGGCTGTCAGATCCCCTGGGACTGGAATTATGGACAGTTGTTAGCTGCTATGTGGGTACTGGGATTTGAACTGGGTCTTCTTCAAGAACAACCAGTGTTCTTAACCTCAGAGCCAGCTCTCCAGCCCCCCAAATTAAAACATTTTAAAGTATAAGGAGGTGCTGGAGAGATGACTCAACAGTTATGAACACCAGAGGACCCGGGTTCAGTTCCCAGTATCCACATGGCAGTTCACAACCTTCTACAACTCCAGTTCACACATAAAATAAAAATAGGTCTCTTTTTTTAAGAAAAAAAAAAGTGCAGCTGGGCGTGGTGGCGCACGCCTTTAATCCCAGCACTCAGGAGGCGAGGCAGGCGGGTCTCTCTGAGTTCAAGGCCAGCCTGGTCTACATAGTGAGATCACATAAGCTGGGACTACAGGGAGACCCTTTCTCAAAAAGACAAAAAAAAAAAAAAAACAGAAAAAAAAAGTGTAAGGAGTAGGAGTTAAAGTGGGACAGGAATTAAGAATTAGAAAAGGGAAGTTCAAGGAATAGGCAATGTGAAAGGTTTGTGTTGAAGTGACTTAGTGATGAGGTAGAGATGGCATCAGAAAGCAAAGATGACACAAGATGCCTCATAATATAGCAAGAAAGACTGATCAGTTAGCAGAGAAGAAAGAGGTAGATGACCTGGCGGTGAGACAGGTGGCAGAGACCCACTGTTTGGAGGAGATGGGGAAACAGGTTGATGTGATGGGGCTGGGTCCGCAGGGTGCTGGCCCACACACCTCCTTCTTTACAGCCTCAGTACATTGCTCTGGAGTCACTCTGCCAGGACTATGGCTTTGAGTTGCTGGGCATGTGCCGGAATCAGAGTGAGGTCACCGCAGTGCTCAATGACCTGGGTGAGGACAGCAAAACAGAGGCTGAGGCTGAGGGCCTGGGCCAGGCCTTTGAGGAGGGCATCCCTAACCTGGCAAGGCTGCGGCTGGCTGTCAACTACAACCAGAAACAGGTCAGCTGGTCCCCACTGCCTCCTCTCTCTGCTCTGGTCCCTCATCCTGCCTCCTCTAGGTATCCCTCGCTCCAACCCTGTATCACAACTTTCTCTATCCTCAGGACCTACTGAGACCTTCAAGCACCCTTCCATCTAAGCCCTTGACAGCAAGAAGGGAAGGCACCCTTCTTGTTACTGTCCCTTGTTACCCTCAGTTTAAGGCCCAATTTTCCCAACCTTTGGAAGATCCATCATCCCCCAGAATCCCACCTTCAGACGGGGACATTCAAGTGTCACATAGACTCAGCTCTGCCTCCGGCCTGCTGAGCATCTTTAGCCCATTGTCAGTCTATAGTACCTCACTCTATGTAGAAAGGCAATCAAATATCCAGTGATTCTTTTCACTGTCTCATTAGATCCCCTTCCTTACTCCCAACCTAAAGATATGATCCCTGTCTAACCTCCCTCAGGCCTTTATTCTTGTCATCCACCCACAGATATCCTGACTCACTAGGCTTGTAACCAAAGTTTTCCTTTGTGGTATCGCCACTGACCCTGCCCTCAAGACAACAGATCTATAATCCCCGTTCCTTCTCCTCAAGGTCATTCAGACTTCTGTTCCATACCCCTACCAAGTCAGGGAACCCTGGGGTTTCTGGACTCATATCCCAAGTTCTACCCACCCTTGCCTGACTTAGATTCAAGAATGTGAAATCTGAAGTCTGGAAACATCTTCATATTCAGGCTCCTCTTACCAAGGCCTAGAGAAAATGGGGGTTGCCCCTATCGTATGGAAATGAAACCCCTCTCTTCCAGGCTGGCTGGCAGAGAGAGAAAAGGATGGTTTAATTTCTGTGGCAGGAAGTAAGGACTCTGCATCCAGCTGGTTCAATCCTCCCTGCCTGGTGCCTGCCTCCTGTCATACCCCATCTCTGCTTAGTTTGTAGCACACCCCATCTGCCAGCAAGTTCTGTCTTCCATCTGGTGTGGGAACCTGGCCGGCTGGCGTGGAAGCACCACCATCTGGAAGCTCTTTGTCGCCTTCCTCATCTTCCTCACCATGCCCTTCCTGTGCATTGGGTACTGGCTGGCACCCAAGTCTCGGGTACTAAGAATAAGATTAATTATAACCCGGTTTTGTGTTTTGGAAAGTGGATTGGGGGCAGGGGTATGATTGTAGAGACTGTTAGAGCATGTCCATAGAAAGCTGGTGGAGGAGCCACTCATGTTCCCAGTTGGGTGGCCCAGTGATTTTATGAGGTAGGAGGAGTATGTTTAGGATAGAAGTGATGATGATCTTCCCTTTTAATTTGGCTGAGTTTGAACTTTTCCTGTGGTAGCCCAAGGAAAAGTTGCTTTACCTCTGTGAGCTTCCATTCCTGAAAAAAAAAGATAGGATTGAGGACTAGAGAGATGGCTCAGCAGTTAAGAACACTGGCTGCTCTTGTAGAGGACCCGGGTTTGATTCCCAGCACCCACATGGCAGCTAGCAACCATCTGTTAACTCCAGTTCCAGGGGAATTCAACACCTTCTTCTGACATCCGCAGGCACTGCATGACAAGGGTGCACTTGTACATATGCAGGCAATATACTCATACACCAAAAATAATAAATAAAATATGTTTTTTAAAAAGGATTAATAATGCCTACCTCACATGGTTGTGAAGGAGAAAACAGATAGGAAATATAGGGCCCATGTAAATGTGTAGATATGTGGGTGAATCTGAGGGAAGCACAATCACACGTGGGCTGAGCAGTACAGCAGTGCTAAAAGGACAGGAGACAGCAGGCCTTTGAGAGCCACACTCTCCCATCTCCCCCAAAGCTGGGCCGCCTGCTGAAGATCCCAGTGTTGAAGTTTCTGCTACACTCTGCCTCCTATCTGTGGTTCCTCATCTTCCTCCTGGGAGAGTCCTTGGCCATGGAGACACAGCTGAGTACCTTCAAAGGGCGCAGTCAGACTGTCTGGGAGACCTCACTACATATGATTTGGGTCACAGGTAAGCATGTGGTAGCCCTTTCCTTGTGGCATTCTCCCTTGGGCCCCTCCCCTGTCCTTCATAATAAGAACTTCAGCAGAAGTCTACTTCTGTAGCTGTCTCTGAACATATAACCAGACCCTCTGGGCTCTGGCTTTCCCATAAGCCCCACTCAGAGGACCCAGCCCTGTGGCAGTCCCTGAACAATTTATTTCATTTTTCCCACTCCCTGGCACTCGTCACTACCCACTCTGGAGGTTCTTATCCTCACACAGACAGCTACCCACATGATCATTTGACAACTTCCCCTGGGTTATTGGTGGCCTGCAAGTACACTATCAAGCAAGCTATCCAAGCAATGCAGAACAGAAAGGCTAAAGGCCTACTTAAAATGCTTCAGTCACAGAGTTCATTAAGCCCATAATTATAAGTTTATAATTTGATGGTATTATCATGAGGTTATCACGAAGGCCAGTAGTTTGAAATGGGCAGAAGGTGCCTGGGACACCACTTGACCTGTGGGGAAAGCAAGAGCAAACATGTCTGGGCACAGCTGTGCTTTCTAGCTCAGCAGCCATGAATTAGGTCCATGTGCATTCTTCGGACAAGTGGAGCCAGCACGAGTGTTACCAGTGTGCAGCTAATGTAAGATCTGATAAATACTGAGGGCCTCATGTGCCTCATGAGGGTCAGTGTGCTGCCTGGGGGTGTCTAGCTATGCTTCTTTATGTATTTATATACATAGGCTTTACTTCCTTTATTTAATAGGTCACCCAGGTAACCAGCTCATCAGTGCTTAGTGTATGGTTCATCCATCCCATCAATTCCTTTTCTTCTGTAGTACAAACAAGTTTTCTCAAACAATTCAGTCAATGAGGGCACAAGAATCCCCAAGACTCTCCCCAGTCTCTGGCTGGTCATTTCCTCAGGCTGGACTGACTGGAGGTCCCTCCTTATCTGAGTTCAAGATTGGCAGGTCTCCAGTACTTAGCTCTAGCTTAGCTATCGAACCCTTAAGCCACCAGCATACCAAGCCCCTGCTCCATTCTAAGCTAGACAATTACCCAAAGGGGATTTGACCCTGAAACTTGGGGAAAACCAAAAATTGCCCAAGGAAAAAGTTTTCATCATCCCGTTTACTAACCATTTGCTGATTTACAATGAAACCAATATAGTTCTTCCCCTGCCTGAGCAGGAAGGAAAGTTTTTATAAATACATAAAGACTCACACCTGTTACCCCGGCACTCGGCAGGCTGAGTAAGGCAAGAGGATTGTGATGAATTCCAGGCCAGGTTGAGCTACCTGGGAAGTTCTAAACCAGTGCTACAGAATGAGACCTTGCCTCAAAAGTACAACAGCAATAACCACAAAACATGAAGGAAAACTCACTTAGGCAATGTATACTGAGCCCCTACTGTGATGAAGCCCTTAGAGAACATATAGTGTGACAGCCACTCAGCACACGTCTCCTGAGCAGTCACACGTTCCTACAAGGACTCTCCTGCTGCACAGCACAGGCAGGTTCCTGACCAGAGCACATCACCTCTTGTCTCCAGGCTTTTACTCATTTACTTTCCTAGAACACTTGCCCTTCCCCTACTACCTTGCACCTGGCTGGTTCCTACTCCTCCAGATTTCAGCATGAGCTTTCTCTGGCCCCCAAATGAAGATGAAGAATCTTTTTGTTTGTTTGTCTGTTTGTTTGTTGTTTGCTTGCTTGCTTGCTTGCTTGCTTGCTTTGGAACTTGCTATGTAGACCAGGCTGGTGTTGATCTCATAGAGATCCATTGCCTCACACCTCCTGGGTGCTGGGATTAAAAGTGTGCACCACCACACCCATCAAAGCTTGATTTTTAAACACCTTCATAACCACTCACATCTTAGCATTTACCACAATTTACCACAATACAACCACAGCCTGTTGTATCTCTTTGGTTATTTACCTGTCTCCCTCACTAGGTTATAAGCCCAGGAAGATAGAAACTGTATCCGTCTGATTCAACATAGGATCCCACTGGCACATGGCAGAAGCTTAGTAAATACTCATTTAATTTGTTCAGGGCACTAGATGCAAAATATGAATTAGCCATAATCCCTGTCCTTGAGCAGCTCTAAATTCAGAGAGACTAGGAGGAAGGGAACAGATTCATAAAGAAACACTCTGCTATGCCCCCATGGCGAGATCACAGAGACAGGAAGAGAAAGCTGTAAGAACACAGAACAGGCCAGCTGCCTCCACCTGGTTAGCAAGGTAGTGGAAGGGCTCTGCAGGCAAAGGAAACTGAGTACACAAAGAATGGAGAGGGGGAAACACAGGTGGGAAGAAACCTGACTAATGGAGGCCAGATCTCAAGGCCCCCAAGCCCAGGTCGAGCACTGGGCCCCACTGAGACTTGGGTACACTGAGCAAACTGATCATTTAGAGCTCCTTCAAAATGAGAAAATAGAGCTGGGTGTGGTGATGTACAACTGTAATTCCAGCACTCAAGAAGTCAAGGCAAGTTCAAGGCCAGCCTGGGCTAGCTATATAGAACATTTGAAGTCAACCTGAGCTGTATAATGAGACTTTCTCAAAAAACAATAAAAGTGGGGCTGGAGAGCTGACTTAGCTGCTATTGTAGAGGACTGGGATTCAATTCCCAGCACCCACATGGCTGGTAATGACTGTCTGTAACTCTATTTCCAGGGGATCCAACGCCCTTTTCTGACCTCCACAGGCATTGTACAACTCAGGTGCACCTACCTACATGAAAGCAATACAGTCATATGTGCAAAATAAAAATAATAAATACAATATTAAAAATAAAATAAAAAAACAAAGGGTCAGCAAGATGGCTCAGTGGGTAAAGGCACTTGCCACCAAGCCTAACAACTTGAATTCAACCCCGGAAACTTCATGGTGGAAGGAGAGAACCAACTCCTGCAAGCTCTTCTCTCACCTCCACATGCACACCACACACATACACACCACACACACAAATGCACACACATACACACAAATAAATACATAAATAGTTTTTAAAAAATTTAAAAACAGCCAGGCTTGGTAGCTCACACCTTTAGTCCCAGCACTCAGGAGACAGAGGCAGACAGATCTCTGTGAGATCAAGGCCAACCTGGTCTATGCAGTGAGTTCCAGGTCAGCTGGGGCTACAGGGAGACCCTGTCTATAAATAAGTAAATAAATAAGTAAATAAATAAATAAATAAATAAATAAATAAATAAATAAATAAATATAGTAAACAACAGAAGAAAACACTGATATCAGTCTCTCTAATGTACATGAGCACATACATACACATATAACACATACAACATAAGAAGGATTCCTGCCTAGTATCTGCCTCGTTGATTTGGTGGAGGCCAGGGAGCCCAGTCTTCCCAGGTGCTACCTGCTTTCTGCTTTCTGACTGTCAGCTGCCTGGCGTCCTTGTGCAAGTCACACCAACCATGATATGAATCTGCTCCAACAAGGGAGTCCTTACTTTTCCATAAGGTCACTTTGAACTTGGTTAAATGACATTTTATTCTCCATTCCCATCGGGTCCCCTACCAACATAACCTACCTGTGCCTCCTCCCGTCCTGCCCTCTGCCATTCTTCCAGGCTTCCTGTGGTTCGAGTGTAAGGAAGTGTGGATCGAGGGCCTACGCAGCTACCTTCTGGACTGGTGGAACTTCCTGGATGTGGTCATCCTGTCTCTGTACTTGGCGTCCTTTGCACTGCGCCTCCTCCTGGCTGGGCTTGCCTACGTGCACTGCCGGGATGCCTCAGACAGCACCACCTGCCGCTACTTCACCACTGCTGGTGAGTGGCCCTGTGTTAGTACCTTCCTCATTGCATGACAGAATACCCAACAGGAAGAGTTTATTTAGGTTCACAGTTTGAAGAGACATAGTCCATCATAGTGCTGATAAGCTGGTGCTTAGCTCCCTCTCTCCTTTCCTCCTTTTTATTTTTTAATTTTTAATTTTTATTTTTTGGTCTTTTTGAGACAGGGTCTCCCTGTAGCCCCAGCTGTCCTGGAACTCACTATGTAGACCAGGCTGGCCTTGAACTCACAGAGATCCACCTCCCTCTGCCTCCCAAGTGCTGGGACTACAGGCCTGCACCACCATGCCCAGCTTCTCCTTTCATCCTTTTTAATTCAGCCTAAGAACCCAGCCCATGGGATGCTGCCAGCCACATTCAGGGTGGGTTTCCCACCTCAGTTAAACCTCTTTGGAAACACATTCACAGACATGCCCAGAGTTGTGTCTCCTAGGTGATTCTATAGTCAAGTTGCTAATAAAGGATTAACCATCACAGTCCCTCCTGCTCAGCACTGAATCGCCAGGTACCCCTTTTCCTTGGCTCTCAGCCACTGTCCCATCCCATCCTGCACAGAGCGAAGTGAGTGGCGCACAGAGGATCCCCAGTTCTTGGCCGAGGTGCTCTTTGCTGTGACCAGCATGCTCAGCTTCACCCGCCTGGCTTATATTCTGCCAGCCCATGAGTCGCTGGGCACTCTTCAGATTTCCATTGGCAGGATGATCGATGACATGATCCGGTGTGTACTCTCCCTGCTCACAGCTCTTCCTCCCTGACTCTGGAATTCCTCAGCTCTGGTGTGACATGGGAGTTCATGACCTGTGTTCCTCTAGAAGGATGTAAGAGCCCTTTGAACCCTAGAATCTAGAAACAGAGTCTGGAAATGTAAATGTGCAGGGAAGGTCTACAACCTAATTCTCAGAAGCCCAGGACCCTAGAGAAGATTACAAGCCACTGATGGCAGAAAGAGCCCTTGGCGTTCTGATCCCAGTTTGGTCGCTATCTGTCCTAGTTTGTTCTTCATTGCTGTGACTAAATACTCTGACCAATACCAACTTGGGGAGGAAAGGGTTTATTTAGCTTACATCTCCCAGGTCACAGTTCATCAGGGAGCCCAAGGTAGGAACTCAGGGCAGGAACCTGGAGGTAGGAGCTGGAGCACAGGCCATGGAGGAATGCTGCTTACTGACTTGCTCCCCTGGCCGCTGCTTAGCTTGCTCTCTTATCCAACACAGGCCCACCTGCCCAGGGGTGGCACTACCCACAGTGGGCTGGGCCCTCCCACATCACTCAACAATCAAGAAGATGCCCCACAGACATGGCCACAGGCCAGTCCAATGGAGTCAATTCCCCAATTGAGGCTCCCTCAACCCAGGTGTGTCAAGTTGACACTAAAGCTATCCAGCACACTATCTCTGTGACACTCCCTGGGCCTCATTTTCCCCCTTTTTTTCCTGAAAAGTTAAGTCGTGTACACTTGACCTCTCACCTTAGTCAAAGCCACAGTCAATGCCTGCCCTCCTAGGAGCCCCTTTCTTAACTGGGGAGCCCCCTTCTTAATGTAGGACCTAGAGTGGGTGGCCTCAGCTCAGCTAGCCTAGAAGAGAACCTTGGCCTCCACCCTGGGATTCTTCTAGCCTTCCCTGGGGCAGGTTCACTCATCTCATGTATAGGGCTGACTCTCCAGGTATTCCCTTCTGTCCAGTAGGAATCTGACTCAGCCATCCCTGTCCAGTCTCAGCATTTCAGTCCCTTTCCCTGGGAGACTGGTCCATCCCTAGCACTGACTGCATGGACTCAGTACCTATTGTTCTTAAGGATAACCTCTGCTTTTCTTTACTCTTAATAATAACCAAATTGAATACTTGTCATATAGAGAGCCAGGAAGTAAAAAGTAATAATTCAAACAAAAAACAAAGAGCCAGGAAAACCACCACTGCCCCTGTCCCATCCCTCTTCCCAGAGCCTGGCTTCTAGCATAGAGACCTACTCTGACCATTCCAAATCCCCCTCCCTGCCAGGTTCATGTTCATCCTCATGATCATCCTGACTGCCTTTCTCTGTGGCCTTAACAACATCTACGTGCCTTACCAGGAGACAGAGCGGCTGGGCAAGTATGCTGGGACAGAGGCAGAGTGGGCAGGTGGGGAGGCTGGGGCCTCTTTCTCCTTCCGTCGCTGCTGTACTCAGCTAACTCTCTTATTTGCTCACTCCCTCATTGAGGCACTTTGTCACTCATTAATCTGTTCGTTGTTACATTCATTTATTTACCCATTTCTTCTCCAACTCTTCTATTTTGAAAAATGTCAGTCATATGAAAAAATTAAAAAGTAAAAAAAATTTTCATTGCACACCCATTTGCACTTTACCTAGCTTTGTTACTTGTTACTGTTGTGCCACATTTACTTGATCTATTCCTCTCATTATCCTTTTGTAAATATCATTGCACGTCACCCCCAAATAGTTCAGGATGTCATTTAAGAGTGTACACAAGCCATTATCACATTAGCAATTTAATATCGATTGCCTAATATTACACACTGTGCAGTCCTTATTCAAATGTCCCTAATTGACCCCATAGTCTTACTAGTTTTTTTAAAAATCTCATATCTAGGGGTTAATTGGTAGAGTGGCTCCCTAGCTGCATGAAGCCCTGGGCTTGATCCCCAGAACTATATAATAACTGGGCATGATGGCACATACCTGTAATCCTAGCACTTGAGAGGTGAAGGCAAGAGGATCAGAAGTTCAAGGCAATCCTTGGCTACATAGTGAATTTGAGGCCAGTCTGTGATACAGCAGATCATTTCTCAAAAAAAAAAAAATTAACTATTAAAGCACACCTTTGATCTTATTTTTTTTATTTTTTATTTTTTGGTCTTTGAGACCTGTAATCACAGCTAGCCTATGTAGACTAGGCTGGCCTCGAACTCACAGAGATTCACCTGCCTCTGCCTCTCGAGTGCTGGAATTAAAGGCATGCACCACCATGCCCAGCATAAAATATCTGGCCAGGTGTGGTGACGCATGCCTTTAATCCCAGCACTCGGGAGGCAGAGGCAGGTAAATCTTTGTGAGTTCGAGGCCAGCCTGGTCTACATAGTGAGTTCCAGGACAGCTGGGGCTACAAGGAGACCCTGTCTCAAAAAAGACAAAAAAAAAAAGCATATCTGCCCTAGAATCATATACTTCATTTTGTTGTTGTAGTTTTCCAGCTCCTATGATTTGAACACACCTTTTCTGTGTCTTGCATAACAAATGAACTGAGTTGTATTCCACAGTTGGCATTTTTAAATTTATTTAATTAATTAATTAAAAAAATTTTTATGTGTATGAGTATATTGCCTGCATGTATGTGAGTGCACCTGTGTCATGAAATGCCTTGGATGTCAGAAGAGGGCTTTGGATTCCTCTGGAACTGGAGTTAAGGACTGTTCATAGCCACCATGTGGGTGCTGGGACTCAAACCCGGGTCCTCTGCAAGAGCAGTCCGTGCTCTTAACCACTGAGCCATCTCTCCAGCTCCTAATTAATTTATTTTTTATTTATTTATTTTTTTTTCCCTCTTTTTGAGACAAGGTCTCCCTGTATCCCCAGCTGGCCTGGAACTCACTATGTAGACCAGGCTGGCCTTGAACTCACAGAGATCTGCCTGCCTTTACCTCTCGAGTGCTGGGACCAAAGGTGTGTGCCGCCACTCCTGGCCTTTATTATTTTTTATTTTGTGTATATGAGTGTATTGCCTGCATGTATGTTGGTGCACCCATGTTGTGCAATGACTGCAAAGGTCAGAAGAGAGCATTAGATCCCCTGGAACTGGAGTTACAGATGGTTGTTAGCCACCTTGTGGGTGCTGGGAACTGAACCCCAGTCCTCTGCAAGAGCAGCCAACGCTCAAACTGCTGAGCCATCTCTCAAGCCCCGACATTTGTTTTTTTCCTTATGATTAAACTCAAGTTAGAGTTAGGCAAAGAAGTCTTGAAAGATGGCTCAGTGGTTAAGAGCACTTCTTTCTCTTGTAGAGGACTGGGGTTTGGTTCCCAGAACCTACTTGGTGACTTGCATCTGTCTGTAACACCAGTCCCAGGGATCCAATGCCCTCTTCTGTCTTCCACAGGCCCCTGCATGCATGTGGTGCACATAAACTCATGCAGTCTCTCACATACATATTAAATAAATAAATAAATTAGTACTTTATTTCTTAAAATATTTTATTTTTTATTTTTATTTTGTATGTATGAGTATACTGCCTGCATGTATGTACGTGCACCCATGTTGTGGCGGAGGTCAGAAGAGGGTGTCTGATTTCACTGAAACTGGAATTATGGACGGTTGTTAGCAGTCATGTGGGTGCTGGGAATTGAACCCTGATCATTTGCAAGAGCAGCCAGTGCTCTTAATCACTGAACCATCTCTCCAGCCCATAAATAAGTAATTTAAAAGAGTTTGAGGGGCTGGAGAGATGGCTCAGCAGTTAGGAACACTGGTTGTTCTTGCAGAAGACCTGGGTTCGAATCCCAGCACCCAGATGGCAGCTAATAACTGTCCGTAACTCCAGTCCCAGGGGATCCGACAGCCTCTTCTGACCTCCATGGGCATTACACCACACGGGTGCACTTACCTACCTGCATGCAACACACACATACACGTAAAATAAAAATAATAAATAAGTTTTAAAAAGTTTAAAAGGGTTTGAGCAAGAACACAGTCTGGCCGATGATGAGCATTTAACATTGCATCACGTTAGGGGGCACATGATGTGGGTTTGGCCCATTGGTCAAGCACACCCCTCCACTGCAAAGACACTAGAGAAGTCCTTTACTAGCAGAGAGATATTCTGACATGCTAGGACTACACTGCTTCCAGGTTTTATCCACTGGCTTTAGTATCCACAGATGATTGTCGGGGAGGTCAAGACAGGGTCTCAAATAGGTTGGTCATGAGTTTAATGTGTAGCTGAAGATGATCTTGAATTCCTGGTTCTCCTGCCCTCACCCTCCAACTGCTGGAATTATAGGCTTGTACTACCCTCTCAGCTCCACAGATGATTTTTACCTGAATCAGTTTCTACAGTGATGGTTTCAAGATTGTGACTTTCCACATATATCATTTGTTCTGTGCTTATTAGGTTGCATTTTTCTATAAGGAAGTATTTTCTCCTAGCTGTGCATGGTAGCTTATGTTTGTAATCCCAATTCCTGGAAGGTAGAGGCAGGAGGATCAGAAGTTCAACATCATCCTCAGCTATATAGCAAGTTCAAGGCTACATAAGTCCTTATCTCAAGAAAGAAACAGTGCAGACAAGATAGCTCAGTAAGTTAAGGTGCTTGCGGTTAAGCCTGACAACCTCAGTTCAATCTCCAGGACCCTCATGGTGGAAGGACAGAACTGACTCCCACAAGTCGTCTGACCTCCATGTGTATGCAATGGCACTGCACATATACTCAAAAATAAGTAAGAATAAATAAATGAACAAATAAAATGAGTAAATGTCAAAAAAAATCAAGTATTTTGGCTGGAAAGTTCCAGTAAGGTAAGTGGTCTGCATGTGGCTGAGGGTCGCCAGCAGTATTTAAAGTTAACAGGTGGGGGGCTGGAGAGATGGCTCAGCATTTAAGGGCACTGACTGCTCTTGCAGAGGGCCTGGGTTCGATTCCCAGCACCCACATGTGACTATGAACCATCCTTAACTCCAGTTCCAGGGGAATCCGAAGTCCTCTTCTGACATCCGAGGCATTGCATGACACGGGTACACTCACATACATGCAGGCAATACACATACACATAAAATGAAAATAATAATTTTTAAAAAGTTAACAGGTGGGTACAACAGTACAACAGATGGGTCATATTTAGGAGGAGCACCCTTAGTGCTATGCAAAGGGCAGAATAACAAGACTGATCCATACATCATTGGCCACTGGGGAGTTGTGGTAATTGATATGGGGTGCGGGGATCTCCGGGCGCCAGCTGCTAGAATGGCGCCGGTCTCCTGGGGGCGCACCTGGGAAGCGGCGGTCCCGTGGCGCGTCCGCACTGCGTTGCTGGTGGGTCTCTGCTTCTCCGGTCTCTGTGGGTCTCTGCTACCGAAGCTGGCCCGGTCGAGTTCCGCCTCAATTTCACCCGTGCACTCTCTAAGTTTGGGCCGTCAGCTGCCGGGTCAGGAGGAGAGGTGCGGGGTGGCTAAAGCTGGATTTCTGTGAGTCGATGCCGAAAGGATAGCGCCCCCCGGGGAGGCTGGATCGTAGGCAGTAAGACACAGAACTCAGCTCAGTCAGTGGTACAGCCCTTTTATTTAGTGACTTAGCTTGGTTCCTAGTCTCAGTGATCCAGCTTCAGCTCCAACTTTATTGGGGTAAAACTAGGACTATTTATAGTGTGGAGACAGTAGAAGAAGCCTTAGCTGATAGGTACTCCTGGAATGCCTCATTTACATAGGGCGGTGGGCTTCTATCAGGCTATCAGACAACGCCTGATTAAAACCTGGTAGCTCCTGTGCCGGAGGGCATGTATCTTGTGCCAGGCATTTCAAAAGTAAGTCAGGGAGGAGAGCAGAAGTCGCCCCGCTGAGAAGAGGAGTCTCCCCAATCGCACCGAGCCAGCTTGTGGCTATCCGGACATGGGGAGACTGCTACCCTAAACAGCAGGGGTCCCCAACAATTGATGCAGAAATTCAGACACAGTCCAGCAACAGGCAGAAAAGTGTGACAGCCAGGTGAACCCATTCTTCGGGGGTGGTTGGGAAGGGCTTCCTGGAAGAGTGGCACTGGGAACTGCTGCCTCTGTGCTCCCTGCCACATTCCCACCCAGACCAGGACAGTTTCTAAAGTGGTTTCCGTGCCTCCCTCCTTCATCTGCTCACCTCCTATTCACAGCAACTAACATGGTCTTCTCAAATGCAACTCAGGTGTCCCTCTCTCCCCAGAACTCTTCATAACCTCCTGTTGTTGGAGGCCATGGTAAAGTCTTCGATTTTATTCTATAAAGTTTTGTATTTGCATGGTTCCTCACTGCCTCTCACAAGCCTCTCTCTCCTCTACCTATCTCCCCACTACCCCTTCTCCAGAACATCAGGTCCTTGAAGAAGGGACTCTGCTTGTCACATATACCAATATGTTCTTAGCACTCATGACTTTGTGTTCAGCAAATATTGATTAACCAAAAGAATAAAGGTGGATGCTCATAAATAGCAAGTGTCTGTTTGCACCAGGATGGCCCAAAGGGCTCCATCGATACAGAACACCTTTGGCTATGTCTTAAGTGGGATGAGGAGTGTGTCTGGGTGGTTCCCAGGCTTCTTTCCCAACCTCACCCCCATTTTCCTCTCCTCTCCTTGGACCACATGCCAGTTTCAGTGAGACATTCCAGTTTCTCTTCTGGACCATGTTTGGCATGGAGGAGCACAGTGTGGTGGACATGCCGCAGTTCGTGGTACCTGAGTTCGTGGGCCAGGCCCTCTATGGCATCTTTACCATCGTCATGGTTATTGTGCTGCTCAACATGCTCATTGCCATGATCACCAACTCCTTCCAGAAGATTGAGGTGCGTGACGCAGGCCAAGTTAGGTAGCGAGAAGGGAGAAGGGACTAGGGAGTGATAGGCCACAGAGACACTTGTGTTCCTGACTTTGGAAAAATTTTCCTCTATACCCCCCTAGTACTGCTGTTTGTCTCTCCAGAGTCTAGTGCTCAGGATGGTGGTGACAGTGGGGTCTGGATGCATTGTAGAAAAGTTAAGTGGAAACAGGAGAAGTGAGGGGAAGGAATGGATGCGTTGGATTTACAGGCTGGACAGGAACTGGAAGTTAGGGAGGAAAGAGATAAAGGAGTGGGGAAGACGTGTCAGGGAAGTTTGGGTGACACAGGGGCTGGAGATGGTAACAAGGAGAAGAAAGTCATTGGCACATTAGGAGAATAAGAAGTGAGAGGACTGGAAAAAAGAGGCAGACTGAGTGAGCAAGGGGGCTGGCGCAGCATGGTCCTTGCACAGCTTCCTACCTCCTGGTCCCCAGGATGATGCTGATGTGGAGTGGAAGTTCGCTCGCTCCAAGCTCTACCTGTCCTACTTCAGAGAGGGCCTGACACTGCCTGTGCCCTTTAACATCCTGCCTTCCCCCAAGGCTGCTTTCTACCTTCTCAGGTGATGACCTCAGAGCTCTGGCTCTGAGCCCCTACCCTCTGCACACTCCATAGCTCCTGTCCCCACTTTCCTAGGCCCTGTCCCTGACTAACTTCTTTCCACCCTCATAATCTCTCAGGAGAATTTTTTGGTTCATTTGCTGTTGCTGCTCCTGCTGCAAAGCCAAGAAGCCAGACTACCCCCCGATCCCCACCTTCGTGAGTACCTCCCCAGCCTGTTGTTGGTCCCTCACCTGTGTCACCTATGCCATCCAGGATGTGCACAGTGCTGGTACACCTGCCTTTCTGGGTATGTTCCCAGAGAGCCTGCTTCTGGTTCCCACTCTCTTGTATGGCCTCCATTTCCATCTTCCTGGCTCTGGTCATTTCCTGTATTTCTAGTCCCATGTCCGGCAGCCTAAGCAGAAGTCTGTGCCAAGCTACAAATACCCCTGGTTCCAGACAAACGATGCTGAGACAGGCTTGGATGATTTCAACAACTTATGAAGAAGCCACCTGGGAAGTGAGAAGGCTAACAGAGGCAGAAAGAGGTGGCTGGGTACCCAAGGGGCCCACCTACCTCTCAGCATCTCTGCCGTAACCCAGCCGGACTCAGCATGAGAGTTTTCCTAATTCAGACCATTATTGCCAGCTCTGTATGGGTCCTCCCTTCCGCCTCCACCTCCCAGCCTTCACTACTCCCCCTACAGTCCTCTCACAGACCACCCTTCCCCTAGTCAGACCCCATCACTCTGTCTTCCAGAACTGCACTGTAAAATGGAGACAGACCAAAGACAGAAAACCTGCACAGACTGTCTTTGCCCTTCCTTCTTGTACAGGACAGTGATTGGAGGAAGGCTGAAGTGGAGAATCTCATTCTCCTGTCTTCTGTTGCAGACCAACCCTGGGGCAGGGACAGGGCCTGGAGAAGGAGAACGTGGGTCCTACCGCCTTCGTGTCATCAAGGCTCTGGTGCAGCGCTACATAGAGACTGCCAGGCGTGAGTTTGAGGAGACCCGTCGGAAAGGTCAGCTGTCCACCTCCAAACCGTCCCCATTCCTGGGCCTGGCTCACCTGGGAACAGTGCCCCACCCCCAGACTCATGCTCCTCTTCAGCTACATATGTCCACTGCTCCACCCTGCCCTTGCCCAGAGAGGTCCTTGTGCTTAGTCACCCACTGACTCATGTGGGCATTTCTTCTGTTCCTCTTATTTAATCACTCACTCTGCCTTTATTCATGTTTCATGGTCTCCTTCAACCCATGTACACTGCTGTGTCTGCTCTTGTCTCAAGCTGTCTTAAGGGAGGGGGTTCTGTGTAGAGCAAGGACGCACGGGAAACTTCCATTGTTGGGAAGGTGGGCAAAAAGGACTCAGCTAGGAGGCACTGATTGCCCTGGAAACCCAAAAGACAAAAAGAGCCCATTGTTGCATTGAGATGACTGGGAGAAGGAGAGAGAGCTGCAGCTGAGGGTGGAGAAGAGTTTGAACCAGCTCTTCTTGTGTGTAGGATGCCGCAAGGGTGCAGGGGTGTAAATGTACAAATCTACCCACTGAGAGCATTCTCTATGCTGCCGTACCCTTTTCTGGCCCACAAAACTCTCTGTTTTGTTTTCTTTTTTTGTTTTTGAGATATTATTACTATTATTATTATTTATTATTATTATTATTTTGGTCATTTTAAGACAGGGTCTCCCTGCAGCCCCAGCTGCCTAGAACTCACTATGTAGACTAGGCTGGCCTCAACCTCACAGAGATTCACTGTCTGCCTCCCAAACACTGGGACTAAAGGCATGCACCACCACACCCGGTTTTCGAGACAGTCTTACTAAATTGCTCAGGCTGGTCTTGAGCTGATTTTGTAGCCCAGGCTGGCTCTGAACTCTCCAAGCTCTTCTCTTAGTGTCCCAAGTAGAGGGAGTATAGGTCTGCACTACCACCTGGCTAAGGCTGTCCTTCTTTGTCTCCTAAACTCACCATCCTCCCACCAAAGCTCAGATTCACCTGCCATAGTCTTCCCACCCACCTGACCCCTCAGTTCTTCCAGACATCCTCCTTTAGGGTCCACCCATGGTTGTTCCAGGGTTCAGCAGGATGGGGTAAGACAGAAGAGGTACTGAACTGGCTCACCTTCTGAAAGATTTCCCTGTCCTGCTCCACCTCCCCAGACCTGGGCAACAGGCTGACAGAACTGACCAAGACTGTATCTCGACTACAAAGTGAGGTGGCCAGTGTGCAGAAGACCCTGGTAGCAGGAGGGATGCCACGGCCTCCTGATGGTGCCAGCATCCTCAGCCGCTACATCACCCGAGTGCGCAACAGCTTCCAGAACCTGGGCCTCCCCATCCCTGAGACCCCAGCAGAACTGAACATTCCAGGACTTGTGGTGACCGAAGTCTCTTTAGAAACTGGGCTTGATGCTGCTGAAGAGTCTGGAACTCCAGCTTCTGGAGAGTCTGGCCCCTCCTCCTCTGCTCCTGTGATGGTGCACCAGGAGCAAGAACCAGAGAGGGCAGGAGACCTGCCCCTGGAGGAAGACTCAGAGACTAAGGGAGAATCCTAGTGCAATGGAAGGGTTTCTTGTCATGGAGTACAGCAGCCTAGTTGGGTAGAGAAGGTCCCATAGAAGCCCAGGATGCTTTCCTTGCCTCCATGAAATTTCTGCTGTGGCTGTCACACGACAATCTCTATCTCTTGATATTTATTTTAAGATCCTCTGCTTCCCCCTGAATTGGACTCTGTGTGAAGAAAGCGAAGAGTAACAGCTTGCTCTGGGGTTCTGAGTACCTTGGGTCTAGAATCCTACTTTGGGATTCCTCTGCTCTTTGGTGGAAAGAGTTCTGGTCTAGGAGGCCAGAAGACTGAGATATAGGAGGTTTTAGAGGCAGGAGGCCCAAGAGGCAAAAGGCCTGGCTTCAACACTAACTGTCGGACTTTGAGCAGGTAATGTCCTTCCTTGACCTAGTATTCCTTATCAGACAAACAGGACTGAGAATACATCTGTCTGCTTTCCTGCCTTAACAGTTGTGAGGACTCCCTGGCTGTATGTGTGATAGGTTGATCAGGAAGTTACTCTTTTCAGTCCCTCAGCCCCTGAGCCTGCTAAGGGAAGACAGTCTTAGGGAATAAAACAGTCATAGAAGTCCATGTCTCCACACCACAACTCTGTTTAATTGAGTAGCCATCACAGGTCTTCCCTTGCATGTCCCAGGGAGTCCCTATACATAATGGAGTTCTTTCAACCTTGCCATGGCCCCAAGTCTCCCCCAGCCCTGGTTGGGGAGGTGGCTGCTAGGGCTGGAGCCAGAACCATACTCTTACTTCCTGAGGCCATTCAAAGCCTCTCTTCATAGTAAGGTCATCAGTTCCCAAGATTCCTAAGTGACTTTCAGGGTGCAGCTCTTCTGAAACTCTCCAGGGTCCAAGTGCAAGGTCCTTCTCCTTTGCAGAGTCAAGACCCTCCCAGAGGGTGACTCTGGCTGCCCTACTGCTGGAGAGACAAGAAAAGAATGTGAAGCAGGGTCAGGGGAGGGGACACAGCTCACAAAACAGGCAAGAGGGTGACTTACCTGGTGAGGACACACAGCCATGCCTCTTCTCCCCTGAAAAAGACAGCACACTGAGACTCACACCCCAACAGATAGAGCCATTCCCCTCATTCTGTCTTTCCCTTCACCTCAGGGCAGACTGCCCACTTCCCTCCTCCCAGGCAGCCTTTCCACTTTCCATATTGCCTGTCCATCCCACCCACACATCACTCTTCCATTCTGCTCCTGCCTCCATGCTTGGACTTGGCATATCCTGTCCTGTCAGCCCGGTCAAGGCAGAGCCTCCTGAGACCTGAAGCATCACTGGCCTGTGTGCCAACCTCGTGTACTTGGTTCATTTGGTCTATCAAACTGTAGTGCAGAGGGAAGCTTCTGAGAACACATCCAGTCATCTGAGAATAGTCACAGGTCTTGAACTGCTTACAGGACCTGGCAGAACCTGAGTCTCATTACCCAAGTGGGTGTCCTGGAGGCTCTGGGGACCATGTCAAGACATGCTGGCTTCTTTTACCCACCCTGCCATCCTTCTCCTATGCATAGCTCACCACCCAAATAGGCGCAGTTAAAGTGGCTGCAGGTGTGATTATAACTCTGGAGAGTCACGAGGCTCTGAGCTCCATCTTGAGAGAACCCAGTCACCAAGAAGACTTCATGGGGGGGTATCAGCACCTCACGTTCCTCAGGGAAGACAGACAGGGCCTGGATAAGAGCCCCAAAACAAGTCCTTAGAGAGAAGAAGGTGGCATTACCAAACCTGCAAGCCACTGCTGCATCCACAGAGCTGGAGGCAAACTGGCCCAAGCGGATGGAGTCCCCCAGCCTCTTGGGCTCAAAGCGTAGGCTCCCCACGCCTCGGAATACCACCTCCCCAGCTTCCCTGATGCAGCCTCCAGTGCCCCGCAGCAGCTGCAGGGCCCGGGTCAGATAGAAATGCAGGGCCTTGAAGGGGAAGCGCCTCATGTAGAGCTCCCGAGAGCCACCCCCCGTCCGCACGGCCTGGTTCAGCTCCCAGTACAAAGTGTTCGTTGAGTTGGTGTAGACCATAATGGCTATTCCATGCTGGGCCTTGAAGCCAGGGGGCAGAGTGAGCCTGTGACGCCTGTGTTCCCAGGCCTCCTGGGCAGCCTCCCAGGATTCCCGTAGCAGGGCATGGTGTGCCATCTCCTCCTTTAGCAGCAGGCCTGCCTTCTCCTCCATCTCCTCAGAGCAGCCCACATAGGCATCATCGAAGGTGTCTGGAACCAGGCTCAGGGGCAGGATAGGAACAGCCTCAACCTATGGACAAGAAAGGGAGGAAGCACACAAGCAAGAATACAAGCTCAGAACAGCAGATCAACTCAGAACTGCAGAATTTCATTTCTATGCCCAAATGTTTGGTGCATGCAAATTGGCAAGGGCCCAAACAGGCACAAATAGCACAGGCAGTGGAGTCAGACAGACGTGGGTTCAAACACCACCTGTGGGATCTTGAGCAAGTCTCAGGTCTGGGGTTTTCTGGGCTTCAAATTCTCCATCTATGAATTGAGGACACTTCTAACCTCACAGCGTTATTGTGATGAGAGCATAAAGATCACTTCTGCACAACCTAAAAGGGGTTATCTCTTCATTAGAAAGGCTCTTCCTGCAGTGAGGAGAGATGAGGCTGGCTGACTCCAGATGCTTTCTTGGCTCCAAGGGTCATTATTCAGGTGACAAACTGCAGCAATGTCTAATACCTGCCCTGGTCCCCATCCTCAGCTGTCATCCCCCGGGATGCCCTGCAGGTGCTCAGCCAGCACATGGAGTCCCTGTCAAATGGGAATCCTGCATCCTCTCCTCCTTTAGAAGTCTTTATCACAAACTTGAGGGTGGGGTGAGGGGTTTACTGTCCCCAGCCCAACCCCAATCCCAGGGTGTGATGGGGGTAAGGTGAAGCCTGCTTGGGAGGGCCAGCCAGGGCAGCAGTACACCCATCAGGGTTTGCCTGCACTGAAGTCTGGTGTGAGATGGGAAGTGGGGAGGAGAAAGAGGCAATTACTAGGGAGGGGTGGTATGGAGGATTACACTGGAGCTAGGGGATGTTGGGAGGTGGAGTTCTGGGAGAAGGATCAGGAATTTGGGCTCCCTACAGGGATAGAAGTGTCTGAGAGGAGGAAGGAGTTCCTGGAAGCTTCCCCAATTCACTTCCTCAGCATCTTATCCCCCAACTGGCCTTTGTTGGCAAAGGGTGCTCCTGGAGACTTACCTGCCAGAGGGTCTGCAGGCTGAGGACCATCAGCAGAGCCTCTAGCATCATCCTTAGGGGAGTCTTAGGATCCAGATAAGGGTGAGGCCAGCGGTGGGAGAGTTCTGGCTTGGACCTCCAGGACCCTTCCCTCTGCAGGGTGAGAGGACACGGGGTCTGGCACAGGAGAGCGGAGTGGGCGGGGCCAAGGGCGGGTCTAAGGATTTTACTCTCCCCTCCCCAACCCCTAGTCTCAGACTACCCAGATGCCCCCACCCCCAGCGTCTCTTGCCCCGGGACATCTCTGCGACCTTAAAGGCGGGGCGGTTATATGGTTCCGCCGGCAGCGGGAAGGAACGGGGACAGAGGACCCACCTGGGGCCGTGGAAACCCGGAACTTGCCAGGGGGGCGCTATCCTTTGCCGCAGGCAGGGGTTGAAGTGCGGGGTAGGCAACTAGCTGTTCTGGAACTGCTGAACAAAGTCCCGGCGACTAACTATAGCCCCTGGGCTGGTAACCCGACACCTGTCTTCCCCAACAACAGACAGGGGTGTGGGAGCGAGAGTGGCGGAGTCCTTGAGTGGTTGAGGGGCAAAATGCTCCTTCCCTTGGGTGGCAGAGTCTTTCTCTAGACTCCAGCTAGGTCAAGGTTTCAAGAGGGACTTGTGAGACCTGGCTTCTTCCTCAGGTGGGCCTGGGACCCGGCTGGGCCAGGGCTCCAGACCACCACGTCAGGAAGCCCTGCGAGGGTCGCTCCGTGGACATCTCGCTTGCTAAAAGAATGCCACGCGTGCACTGGCTTATTTGCATATAATTTGCATATGGCTTACACGTTGAGTCACGCGCACAAGCATCTATCAGCGCTCACTTCCTTCTCTAATTTTTAACCCCTCCCCCGTCGCCCCTCTCCCATCAGTAGAATGGGATTAAGTGTAGACCCTCAAAGTCCAGCCGGGCCCCCTGCCCCAGACCCTCCCTCCCTGGACCTCTTTGGGTCAGGTGACTCCCATGTTTGTAAACACCAGCTTTCCTCACACCTCCTCTGGGCATGACTATAAATAACCTGGCTCTGAGTTTCAGATGCCCAGTTCAGGTATGGGAGAAGGGGCCAGCTTAAAGGGCCAACAGTTCAGGAAAGAGCCTTCTGACCACTGGAGGGTGGAGAGGAATGTCCCCTAGAGGGAGTATCCTGAATATCAGGATTTATTTTGGTTTAGTTTAGTTTTTTGAGACAGGGTCTTTCTGTAGCTCCAGCTGGCCTGAAACTCTCTATGTAGACCAGGCTAGCCTCGACTTCATAGAGATTCACTTGCCTTTACCTCCCAAGGGGGAGAGGGATGAAAAGCATACCCAGCCCTTTTTCATGTTTTGAAGTTTATTTTTATTTGTGTGTGTGTTTATTATCCCTGCTTGTTTGTATGTGCACCATGTGTGTGCAGGTGCTCTCAGGGACCAGAAAGAGGGCATCAGATCCCTTGTAACTAGAGTTACAGTCGTTTTGAACCTCCAGATATGGGTGCTGGGAGCCTAACCCAGGTCCTCTGCTAGAGCAGCAAATGCTCTTAACAACTGAGCCATCTCTCCAGCCCTGAGTATTAGGATTTAGAGATGTCACCTTCTGGGGCCAGGGTAGGAATAGGATGTGAAACTACCCAAAGGTCTCCATCCTGGTCCCTTCATTGTTATCCCTTCACCACCTCAGATTGTCAGCCAAATAAAGTTCCCTTCAACTAGAATACTTTTATCTCCTCCAATCCTTCCTGAAGACCAAAAAGGAAGGCAAACTGTTAGCAGGGAGGTAGAAAAGCAGTGGCCCCATGCTTACCTATCCTTCCTGCCCTCTCTTTGGAGGGACTTAAGTCCTGGCCATTCCAGGACAACAGATGCTCTGTGGGGACAGCCTCTGGCTTTGGGGAATTTCTTCTTATAGCCCAGGACCTAGACTCTCCACAAGGCCTAAGATATAGAGTTAAATATAGTCATGGGACAGGGGTCCTGAGAGGAGCAGGAAGTCCTCCCAGGTCACATGGCAAGTTAGGGCTTGAGCTGGAATCTAGAACCCAGGCTCCTTAGTCTGCTTCTTCTTGCACCTCAAGTGCTCAAAGAAAGGAACAAAGCTGGACATGGTGCTACATGCCTATAATCCCAGCACTCAGGAGGGAGGCTGAGGCAGGAGGATCATCTCAAATTTCAGGCCAGCTTAAAACATCATGAGGCCATCTCAAAAGGAAACACAAAGAAAAGAACAAAATGAAAGGAGATGCCCCATGGCAGGGGTACAGAAGCTGCATCATCACTACCTTGGCTGACCAGAGCCTAAAACCCGAGCCTGGTGATGAGGCTGTGATACCATCCTAGGTCCTCCACAGCCCTTGGGCATTTTCCTTCTGTGTTTAGGGACTCACATTGTCATGGGAAGAGCATTGGCCCAGGTCACACTGGCAGAAGCTAGTGTTCCTGAGCCTTGACAAGACAGCCAGAAATAGATGGGGGAGTGTCACATTTCTGAGCAGCTGTGTTGGGGAGGGGCAAGGGGTATGGAATGGACAGTTCAAAAGAGAAAGCTGTCCTCCCTGCCCTGGTGACTCTCACAGGAGACCAGCACCAGCTTTCTCCACCCTGGAGAAGGTCTAGGTAAGGGGCATCCCATCTTCCTTCATAGGGAGCAGGGGAATATTTTTAGATGAAATTTAGGGGATTAATGAAGTTTTAGGGACCCTTGGATGGAGTGGTTGAAGACACCTAGAAAGGTTTGTGGATGGGGGAAAATGTGAGATTTTTGAGAAGAGACTTGGGGTCATATACCCATAAGTGTCTGTTTGGTGAGGGCCTAGAAGAGAGGACACTAACCATGGAACTGCAATTAATAGGATGAAAGGAAGGACAGGGGAAGGGCAGCTCCCTTGGCTGTGAAAAGGGATTGCCAAGATGGGATTGTGGTCATGCTTGTAATCCCAGCATTCCAAAGACTGAGGCAGGGGATTGTGAGTTGGAGGCAAGCCATGGATGGGAGGTACTCTACAGGGTCCCAGACCATCCTCTGCAATTCTGAACCCTTATTGCATCTCCTCATGACACTGGTCACCGAGCTCAGAAATCTACCTACTCTGGGGTGCTCTGCCTTGTTAACTATGCCCAGAAAGCCTACCTGACTTGTTTACCAGAGACTTGGGGATCATTCATCATAAATGTAATAGAAACAAGATGGAGCTAAGGGTAGAAATCAGAGCAAGTGTGTGGTGGACCCAGGCAAGGCTTTACTGAACCTTCTACTCTGGAGCGGAAGAAAACCAGCACTGACTGACAGGGTCCTGCTGTTCAAAGAGGAGAAGAGAAGAGGCAGACTTCCACTGATTTGCCAGGATGGCTAACTGGGGTCATCATCTACCCTGATGAGCTTAGTAGCTGAAGCCGTGGGACTTGGGGTTGCAGTACTCAGCGCTTAAGCTGCATCCAGGGTGAACAGAACCTGGCCCAAAGAGAAAGGCAGCGATGCCAGTCCTTCTATCCCAACCCAGTAATCCTCCAGGCTTCTGCAAGGCCACATGAAGCTGCAAAGTTTATTTAGGTCTTCCATTAGTAACAAGACTCTGGGCAACATTTTGGTGACTTTGTCTCTGCCTGGCCCTGGGCTGAGCCCTGGGGACACAGAATGGATCATTCCTGGTCCCTCCCCTTAAGGAACTTAACAGGCCAGGAGAGGAGATAGGCACATGAGGGGGCAGCACACTGTAATTAGGTTGTCCACAGAGGACAGTCAACATGATTCAGAGCTCAGACAGGTGGCTTTCCTAAGAAGGGGACCCCTCAGCCAAGTGTTGAAGAGTGGGTGGCCACAGGGGCCACCAAGGAGAGGGGAAACACTACAGCCACTTGGCTGCAAGAGCCAAGAAGAGGCTAAAGAGGTCTGAGAGGGGATTAAAGACCAGAATAAGGATGTTAAACTGCTAGAGGTGTGGGGGGATGTTTTATTTCATTTTTTGCCTTTTATTTTTTGAAACAAGGTCTGTGTACCCCTGTCTTGCCTTGAAGTCACTATGCAGCCTTGAGCCCCTGATCCTTCTGCCTCCACCTCCGAGTGCTGGGATAGAGGCATGTGCTACCATGCCTGGTTTCTATGACATGCTGGTGATCAAACATAGGGCTTTGTGTACACCAGGCAAGCACTCTATCACCTTAAGCTACATCACCAGCACATCTGCTTTTTTATTTTTTATTGTTCTTTTTTTTTTTTTTTTTGGTCTTTTTGAGACAGGGTCTCCCTGTAGACCCAGCTGGCTTGGAACTCACTAGGTAGATCAGACTGGCCTTGAACTCACAGAGATCCTCCTGCCTCTCCCTCCCGAGTGCTGGGATTAAAGGCATGCACCACCACACCTGGCATTGCTTTTTTATTTTTGTAGATTTATTTTTTTATGTGCATGTGTGAATTTATATGTACCAGATACATACAGAATCACTAGGATGCCAGAAAAGGGCATCAGATAACCTGAAACTGGAGTTACAGGCTATAACTCCATCCTCTGTGGTTTCTCTCTTCCCTTGGTGAAATGGACGCTCTTTGTACTCTGCTCTGCTCTCCTCCACCACCCAGGCCGGGGTCTCTTTCTGCCTCTCCCTACCAAAGTGCTGAGGGTTGAGAAAAGAGTCCAGGGTGAGCCAAACCACAGGATTCCAAAGAGCATAGAGGACTCCTAGACTGGGCTCCACCTCTGTCCTTGTCTAGCTACAGTGCTACCTGCTGACCTGACCTTTCCTGGAGCTACCCCTCCTCTGGGCTCACAAGTAAAGGGAGTGGAGGCCAGACTCACTTTGGCTGTCAGGTCCCTTTGTGACTGGCTACCTTCCCAAACACTCCCATTCCGCACACTCTGCCAGACCCCAAGGTATGTATGAGCACATCCTTAGAGCTGCTACCTCCCAAACTTTTGCATTTTCTGTTGCTGTTGCCCTAAATTAATTTCTCTCCCCCAAATTCCAATCTTTTCTCTCTTAGTCTTGACTGCTGTTGCCTCCTCTAGCAGGTATCCAATGTTCCTTCCAGCCCTGTCCCCCTTAACAGAGTCTCACATAGCCTAGGCTGGCCATGAAATCACATGGAGGATGACCTTGAACATCTTCTTGCCTCCACCTCCCAAGTGCCGCCAGGTTTTGGTGGTATTGGGGCTCCAACATAAGGCTTCATGCATGCTGGGCAAGCACTCTACCAACTGAACTACATCCCTAACCCATTTCTCTACAGTGTTTCCATTTCTATCTTGTGATTGTGCTGAGCACAGGGAGCCACAGATACTAGGTATCAGTTAATGGTTCTTTTTTATTTTTATTTATTTATTTTTTATGTGTATGCTGCATGTAGATAAGTGCACCGGTGTCATGCAATGCCCATGGAAGTCAGAACTGGATGTCAGATCCCCTGGAACTGGAGTTACGGACAGTTGTTAGCTGCCATGCGGGTGCTGGGATTCCAACCTGGGTCTTCTGCAAGAATAACCAGTGTTCTTAACCTCTGAGCCATCTCCCCAGCCCCAAGTCAATGTTTTTTAAACTGTAGAGATTAACATTGTGATTTTCCAGATGAAGAAGAGACAGCAGCTTGCCCAGGGTCACCTCCAACATGCAGATTCCGGCCATGATGTCTCTCTTACTGGTGTCTGTGGGCCTCAGGGATGGCCTTCAGGTATAGTCATCCTCCACCACCAGTACCCCACTAAATCCTGGAAGGAAAAGCAGCAGGAGGAAAGAACCCCCCAAGTTTCCCTGGAGATCCACCTGTCCCAGTTAGGGGACCCCTGACAACCTGGTCTTGGAGAGCTTGCAGCTGGTAGCTAGCTACCAGTTCCCTTCCCCTCCTGATGTGTTTGGGATCTGTCCTGCGTTTCCCAGCAGACAGGCTCCCCCATCTCGGTGCAGGAGACAACTGGAGGACAGGGATCCCATTCTCCTAGAGGCTGCCCAATCAGTCCTTGGTGCTCCTCGCCCACAGGTTCAGAGCCACCCCATCACACAACGGGACATCTTTTCTCAAGAAACACCCCTGGACATGGCCCCAGCGTCCTTCGACGACCAGTATGCTGGCTGTGCAGCCGACATGGCAGCTGCCCTCCCAGATCTCAACCACTCAGAGTTCAAGGCTAACAAAGTCTACGCTGATGGCTGGGCCCTTGCCAACACCCAATGGCAGGAGCGCCAGGCCTGGGGACCAGCGTGGGGCCTCGGCCCCACCCGCCCACCCCTGCGGCCGCCGGGCTTCCGGGATGAGCATGGGGTGGCGCTCCTGGCCTACACGGCCAATACCCCCCTGCACAAGGAATTCAACAGGGCGGTGCGCGAGGCAGGCCGCTCCCGGACCCACTACCTTCACCACTTCTCCTTTAAGACTCTCCATTTCCTGCTGACCGAGGCCCTGCAGCTGCTCGGCAGTGGCCTGCGATCTCCACAGTGCCGCCAGGTGTACAGGGGGGTGCAAGGCCTGCGTTTCCGGCCAGCAGGCCTGGGGACCACCGTTAGGCTGGGGGGCTTTGCTTCGGCGTCCCTGCAGAACGTTGCAGCCCAGCACTTTGGAGAGGACACCTTCTTCGGCATCTGGACTTGCCTTGGAGCGCCCATCAAGGGTTACTCCTTCTTCCCTGGAGAGGAGGAGGTGCTGATCCCCCCCTTTGAGACTTTCCAGGTGGTCAACGCCAGTCGAGCTGCCCAAGGACCCGCCCGCATCTACCTCCGGGCGCTGGGCAAGCGCAGCACGTATAACTGCGAGTACATCAAAGGTGAGGAGCAAACCAGGCTGGTCCCTCTGTGCAAAGGGCGGGCGGGATCCCCCATCCTCCAGGGGCTTTGGCAAATCCAAGTCCCCATCTTCTACTCAAATAAAAGCAAGCCGAAGGGTGTGTTGGTTCACACCCATAATCCCAGCACTAGGGAGGCTGAGGCTACATCATGAGTTTCAGGACACTGTGGGCTACAAAGCAAGACCCTGTCAAAGGAGGCGGACAAGGGGTGGGGGAGGGAAGCAACCAGACCTGAGAAGCAGCCACACTTGGTAGTCTCTTCCCTCAGCTTGAAGCTGGAAGGGAACTGATTTCCAGCCATAATATTGACATCTAAACCGCTGTTGGCTGAAATGAGAAAAGGGGCGCGCGGGGCGGGGCGGGGGGCGGGGCGCCTCTTGGGGTGACTCAGCTGCCTTGAAAGCCTGTTGATCTGAATTTAGACTCAGGAACCCATATGAAGATAGGAGAGGACTGACTCCAGGAGGTTGTCCTCGGACCTGCACATGCTCGCATACACTTTTATGCACAGTAATAATAAAAGAAACTTTAAAAAAGAATTGTGAGGGGCTGGAGAGATGGCTCAGTGGTTAAGAGCACTGGCTGCTCTTGCAGAGGACCCTGGTTTGGTACCCAGCACCCACATGGTGGCTAACAAGCATCTATAACTCCAGTTTCAGGGGATCAGTATATGCCCACTTCTGACCTCCGTGTACACTGAACTGCACAGGTGCACTTATACACTAATACACATAATATAAAAATAATAGATAAAATTTTTAATCTATTTTTTAACTTTTAAAAAAATTGTATTATTTTTATTTTATGTGTATTGCCTGTATCTAGGTAAGTGCACCCATGTCATGCAATGCCCTCGATCAGAAGAGGCTGTCAGATTCCCTGGAACTGGAGTTATGGAGAGTGGTTAGCTTCCATGTGGGTACTGGGATTCAAACTCTGGTCTTCTGCAAGAACAGCCAGCATTCTTAACTGCTGAGCCATCTCTCCAACCCCCAATGATTTTTTTTTTTTTTTTTGTCTTTTTGAGACAGGGTCTCCCTGTAGCTCTAGCTGTCCTAGAACTCACTATGTAGACCAGGCTGGCCTTGAACTCACAGAGATCCGGGGTGTGGTGGCACACGAGGCCAGCCTGGTCTCCATAGAGAATCCAGGACAGCTGGGGCTACAGGAAGACTGTCTCGAAAAGACCAAAAAAAAAAAATTCTTTTTTAAAGTTGTGTGAAAGCCCCAACCTTGGTTTCTGAGAGGAATATTTTTTTGAGACAGAATGGGAATTTCATGCTGTGTGTATGCCAGGTGGATATGGGGGGTGTTGTGCCCTTAAGTCCTAGTTCACCTGTGCCAACCTGTAGCCAGGAAAGTGTCAACTGCTCCTCCTCCATGCCCCTGGCCAAGCCCTCAAGTCAGAGGAGGAACGACAAGGAGGGACTGACTCTCTACCTCAGACGGCTGTGGGCGACTGTTCCTGGCTGCGTGGGGCCCAACTTTCATGGTTAGAAACAGATAGTTGGCCTACACTGTGACCATGGCTTAAATGGGAGGAGGTTCAGTGTGGCTCTATTCCTACCTTGGACAGCATCATGAAGAAGACAGGCCAAGAAAACAAACCAGTCCCAGGGACAAGGCAGAGGAGATGGAGCCACAAGTGTAATTTCAGGCCAGAGGAGCAGGCATGGCCTAGAACAGACTTTGGCTTGCCTCTCTTCTGTCCTCGAAGCTCAGGTTAAGTAAATGAGATCAAGGGAGGTCCCCTGTAAGGGAGCAGAGTTAGGGAACAGCAGGGTTGGACCACAGCTCTGGGGGCCCCTCCCACCTGGAGAGCAACTGAGATTTTGTTGTCTCTTTCCCACAGAGAAGAAGTGCAGGTCTGGGCCCTGCCGGCTGGACAGCTCAGGTAAGAACTGAAGACGTCTGTGCAGGCTAACCTGGAGCTGGCCCTCACCTAGATTGTCCTCTTATCCTTACAACCTCCTAACCAAAGAACTGAACTCCTTAAAAAAAATATTTATGTGCACAAATGTATCGCCTGCATGTGTGTAAGTGCACTCGTGCAGTGACATGCAATACCCACAGAGGGTGTTGCTCAGAAGAGGGTGTTGGATCCCTTGAAACTGGAGTTACAGATGGTTGTTAGCAGTTGAGCCATCTCTCCAGCCCCAAGAAGTGAACTCTTTCAATCAGACAGCAGCGGTGGCAGTCAACCTCTCACAGAGGATGTGTATGTGTGGAGGGGGTGGTGGCTCTGCAGCAGTGTCTGTGCCCCTCACAGATAAGGGCCAAAGTCAGGCTCAGGTTTCAGGCTGCTCTGAGGCTAATATAGGAAGGGCTGTTCCCCTCAGAGTTCCCTTCTCTTGGGCCTTTTCCTTCAGTTGTGGAATCCATGGTCCCTGTTATTATCCTCAGGGCCTCCTCAGACCTACTTTCCAAGGCCAAGGCCAAGCCTTGGATGTCAGGGACCTACACTTTAGGCTCTAACCTAACATTCTCTATGACCAATCTATTATTTCTCTGGGCCTCAGTTTCCCTATTTGTAATAAGCAAATAGAACCAAAAGACATCTTCGTCTCTTTCAGGTCTTTCTGCTTCGCACACTTGCTATACCAGGGCCTACCTGAGCCACCACTTCTCTAGGTGCGAACAGGCCAGCTCTTAGCATGCTTCTCCCCTCCCTCCCCAACCCTGCCTTCCTCTAGGAGCATAGCCAATGGGCAGGAAGGCTACCCCACCTCTCTTTGTCCTTTCCATTCTCCCCAACAAAATAGTCCTGAGTTCCAGGCTATTCTGTGCCACCAATCTACAGCACATTGCAGTGGCGTTGGTTGGTATTGTTATCAGCCACTCTAAAGAGGGCAGAGAGACAAGCAGCCCTTTACCATACACCTAGTGCGGAATCATGTCCAGACAGCCTGGCTGCAGAGGCAAACTCTGAACCGGCCACCATAACTGCTTCCACCACGGTGTGGCTCTACACAGCAATCTACCAGAAAGAATAGGAGTATTTCCCTCATACAGTAGAGTCAGACCAGACACAGAAGTGACTTGTCTGAGGTGACCAAGACCAGAAGCTGGTTTCCAGCTTCAACCCAGGCCTTTGTTTTATTATTACTAATTTTTAATGTGTATGAGTGTATTGCCTGCATATATGTAAATGTACCCATGTCATGCAAAGCCCATGGAGGTCAGAAAGGGCTTCAGATCTCCTGGAACTGGAGTTACAGACAGTTGCTAGCCACCATGTGAGTGCTGGGAACCAAACCTGGATCTTCTGCGAGAGAACAGCCAGTGCTCTTAACTGCTGAGTCAACTTTCCAGCCCCGTTTTTTCTTTTTGAGGCAGGGTCTTTCCAGGTAGCTCAGGCTGGCCTGGAATTTATCATGTAGCCTAAGCTGGCCCATAACCCTATGTGCAGTTCAGGCCAGCTTCAAACTGACCCTTCTCCTGCTTCAGTCTCCTGAGTGCTAAGATGCTGGGTATATGAATCACTGTGCCTAGCTTGGGTCTCTAAATTCAAATGATGTATAAATTTGAGACTGGAAAAATTTAGGATTATTCTTATCTGGGAAGGGGTGTAGGAGCCAAGCTCATCACTAGATCCCCCTCAGATCTCTGCCTGCCAAGACCATCTACCCTGCCATGTCTCTTCTGTGTCTGCAGAAGGCAGAGGTTAGAACTGATAGGGTGATGGGGTGGGGAGACTGAAGTTTTCTCATCTCTGGTCTCTTCATCTCTGCCTGCCTTCCTTTCTAATTCTGCTCTTTGTCTCTCATTGCGTTTTGTGTATCATCTTCTCAGCTCACTCTGCCAGTCCTTGCATCGTCATGCCTTTACCTTGCTCTTAAATCTCTCTTCTCTTGACTTATTTCTCTGCAGCCCGGGGCCAAGGCTCCCTTTCCACTGTCTTGTCTCTCCTGCTGCTACTCTGGTTCCTTGTACTGGGGATGCTTCCTGAGAGTCCAGGCCTCCTGTGACTTACCAGATGTTGAGCAGCCCCATCTGCTCCTCTGCCGCCTGGAGGATGCTGGGCACCTGTATGCTTTAAGCATAGCAGGATCCCTGGTGAACCCATGTTTGGAAAACTCTGGAACCTTCTCTGACAATTGCCAAATCTGCCAGTAGAGACACAGAAGAGAACTTGGAGACTGAACCTTACCCACTGCTCTAAGAGTGAGACTGACTGGAGGTGGGGGAAGGGGGTCTCCAGGACAGGAAGCAACTCATTTGGAGAGAGAAGATGTCAAACATTGGGGGTGATGATGGAGGAGAGAACTGGGACCTGCTGGGGCCATTCACATGCCTCCCATACCCATCTGGAAAACTCTTAATTCACCCCTCCGGGAAGCTTTTCCCAACCTCTGTTACCTGCTGGGTACAGGACCTGCCTCTCTGCTCCCATTGGTCCCCAAGTGTTTCCCATGTGAGACTCTGCGCTTCCTGAGGACAGGGACTGGGTCTAAGGCACAAAGGAGGTAACAGAAAGTTGGGTGTGGTGGTGCATGCCTTTACTCCCAGCACTCAGGAGGCAGCGGCACGGGGATCTCTGTGAGTTCGAGACCAGTCTGGTCTACATAGTGAGTTCCAGGCCAGCTGGGGCTATAGGGACCGTCTCAAAATGGAAAAAAAAAAAAAAGGTAACAGAAGCTATGTGAAAGTCAGTTAATATCTGTTCCTGGGGCACTTTATGTGTAAGAATGGAGTGACTGCATCTAACTATGAGGATGGTGAGCAAGAAAAATGAGAAAGTTCTAGGCCCTCTCTTAGGATCCCTGTGGAACCTGTCATTTCCTTGTCAGCAAAGTTGTAATTTCTGGGTCATGGAGATGGTTTAGTAGGTAAAAGTGCTTGCCACCAAACCTGCTGACCTGAGCGTGAGCCATGGGTCCCACATGGTAGAAAGAACATGCTACCACACTCTTCTCTGACCTTCACACTCACGCCTGCACACACACATATCCACACATTAAATAAATAAATAAATAAATAAATAAATAAATATAATTTTTAAAATGTAATTTTTCTCTGATCTGTGAGTCCTGAAGTTATCTGTAGAGACAATCTTCCCAATTTTCAACTGCAGTCCCGAAGAAGACAGAACATGGGGGAGATACTAAGCGCACTCTTATTGTGGGTTGAGGCTTTGGGGACAAATGTCTATGACTGTCTGCTCTGGAAACTAGACAATGAATTTCCTTCCCTGAGCATCTATGCAGGAGCAAGCAAGGCAGAGTGACAGTCCTGTGACAGCAGCTGCAGAGCAAGACAGATGTGTGGCTCTCCCAGCTAAGAGCTCTAACTCCAAGTGGTAGACATTATGAGTTTTGTTGGGGAATTTTTTGTTGTTTATTTTTTGGTTTTTTGTTTGTTTAGTTTCGTTTTGTTGCTATTTTGAGACAGGGTTTCCCTGTAGCCACAGCTGGCTTGGAACTCACTATGTAGACCATGCTGGCTTTGAACTCACAGAGAATCCCTCCCTCTATATCCTGAATTCTGGGATTAAAGGTATGCACCATCATGCCCAGGTTTTTGTTTCATTTTGTTTTTGTGAGACAGGTTTTATGTAGCCTTCGCTAGCCTGGAACTTACTATATAGACCAGACAGGCCTTGAACTCACAGAGATCAAACTGCTTCTGCCTCCCAAGTGCTGGGATTACAGGAGTATAATACCCACTATATTCAGCTGACATTGCATCTTGCCCTCAAAGTCTGTACTCTGATCTCAATCCTTTTGGAATCAGGGTCGAGGCAGGCTCTGGATCACTCTCAGAGCACACAGACCATGTGGATAGGCTCTTGTGGATTGTGAAGTTAGTTGAGCTGGTCCTGAAGAGAAAATGTCCCAGGTTTTTAGCAGTAGTGGGGTTAGAGACAGTTTAGCCTGAGAACCAACAAGCATTTGGCTTTTGCCATGCCTGCCTGGAGGTGCTGACAGTGCAGTCACTCCCGGGACCCAGTTCCTGCCCTTTACAGGGCTTGCATCAGGACCAGGAGGCTCATGATCAGGGCCATGCAGAAGAAGATGCCCAGGAAGAAGCGGTCCATCACATGGGCCAGGCGCTTCCAGTCTTCATGATAGCGCTGGGCAACCCGGTGGCTATGGAAGGTGCTGGCAATGGAGGCTACGTGGTGCAGCAGGGCCTCCTGGTGGCAGAGACACCGTGGCTCAAGGCAAGGTCCAGCTGTGGGGCCAGCTGGAGGCTGGAAGCTGGGGGCTGCCTCTAGTAGCTTGGACTGCCCACAGGGCTCCCCTCGTTCTCTCACACACAGGCCTCTTGCCAGGTGTCCAAGCAGGAGGACTCGTGCCCAGGCAGGCACTGGATGGGCACTGGGACCACAGTAATGCAGATTCATGATGAGGATGGTGAGTGCTGTGGAGAATGTGACCATGGTCATAGTGGCCATGTAGTACTTCCCTACAAGAGAGAGAGTGCTAGGTGAGCCCCAAACAGGAAATGGAGGATACTGAGCTTCCCAGCTGCCTGTCATAGATAGAAGCCCACCACCAGGCTCTGAAGCCGTTGAGGGGAAGGATGGAGATAAGGGCCAAGTTCTCCCCATTCCTCATTCCTATCAGGGTTCTAGAGCTACCTGTTACTTAATTATTCTCACTGCTGGAGGCTGACAGTTATGGACATAACCCCTGCTGGTACTGATCCTTTCAGTACACCTGGGATAATCTATTTCCTTGGTTCATGGTGATGCTCACCTGAGTTCATGTCAAGTGCACAGGGAGAATGCCTGGTACACAGCCATTAAGTCAGTACATTACACTTGTTCCTTATTACACCTGATACTGGGAACCGGATCTTCCTCCTTAGAGGCTCTTTCCTGCCTGGCGGTGAGGTATACTCTCCTTGACCAGTGCCCTTCCCATTTCCCCTTAACCTAAAGCACCCCAGCGCCCACACCTGTCAGGGGAGGGGACGTGCTCCCCCAACCCCCACCGTACCCCCAGCAGGCTCACCGATGAGCGGCACGCTCTCCGCAGGTGGCATGCTCTCTGCCAGGATCAGCTGGAAGACAGTGAGCGCCAGCAGCACGGTAACGCCCAGCGACACCTTCTCGCCCGAGTCTGCGGGCAGGTGGAAGGCCAGCGGCGCGAGCAGCGAGATGAGCACGCAGGGCAGCAGCAGGTTGCACACGTAGGCGGCGGCGCGGCGGCGCAGCAGCAGCGTGAAGGTCACGTCTGGGTAGGGCTCCGAGCAACAGCCGTAGGTGAGCACGCGCCGCCGCGCCGGCATGCCCAGCACGCGCCACTCCACGTTCTCCACGAAGTCCGCCAGGCTGGCGGAGGCGCCGCGCGGACGCACGTCCAGCTGGTGGCCGCCGTGCGTCCACGAGCCGAAGGTCAGGCCGCAGCGCTGGGAGTCGAACGGGAAGGCCGACACGTCCACGCGGCACGAGCTGCGCGTGATGGCCGGTGCGTCCCAGCGCACGGCGCCGTCGTGCCGCACAACCACGTTGGTGCTGGCTGAGGTTGGTGGCTGCGTGTCTGCTCTGTGGATAAACCGAACTGGACTCATTGGGGCCTGAGGACAAGGTAGACCTCTTCAAGGGGCTTGGTCACTAGTCAGGCCTTAGCGGCCAGGGCAGCACAGGGGTTGGGGTGGAGTGAACCTCCCAAGGTGCACTTCTGCTTTTGGAGGTCTAGAGGAGGCAGCACCGGGAGGACTCAGAAGGAACCCAAGATCTAATCCAGATCAGAGTAAAAAGGTCTGTGCAAAACCCAGTCGTGGAACTTGTCCTCACAGTGACTTTGGGACTCATTTGGGAACTCATTTGAGGGACCCGGAAAGATGCACAATGTGTGCCATGTGTGGGCTAGGAGACGCAGAGCAACTAAAGATGGCATAAAAGATTGCTTTGGTTAGTTCGTAAGCTGGAGAGATCTCTAGAGTCCGGAGCCTGGACGGGTGAAGGCACCATAGAGAAGCAGTTGTGCCCAGGACACCTTTGAGAGCTACAGTTGGCTTGGACCACAGTGAGGACTCCCTGGGGACTTTCAGCCTGTGATGGCCTGAGGCAGCGTAAAGTGCGGGTACTGTGAGTGGTAGTGAGCTCCTGGCAGCTTAGAAGGGCGCCGGGAGAAAGACCCCAGGGCAGCCTAGCAACCCCATTAGGTGCTGAGAGGGAACTCAGTGCTTGCCTCAGAGAAGGGAGGGATCCAAGCAGGACATACTTGTTATAGAGAACGATGTCTGGCCGCCACACTAGACTGCTGGGAATTTGAATTGCATCCAGGTCACCATAAGCACTGGGGTCCCATCTTAGGTAAGCATCTGTCCACTCCTGGCGGATCCACAGGTATAGTGTCAGCACCTGGTTCCGTTCATCCTGTTTGGGGGTAGTCAATACATATGGGTGTGTATATGCACGCATTGCCCTCTTCATGCACACTTGGTCACAGGGCTCTGGTCAGTCCCCACAATCCAGCTTGCCAACATAGTTGAGTTCCTACCCAGACCTGAGCTCACTGTGCCACTTTAATGGTCCTTCAGTCTCAGTTTCAGCAGTGCATTTCCCAGGTAACTCCTGCTTAACTGGGATTCAGTGAGTTCAAGTATGTAAAGTGGTGGGTCACCAACGGGCATCAAGAGCTAAAGGCTTTCATCATTGTTGTTAATATTAACACAGCAAAGGGATAGCTAGGACAGGGCCCTTCTTCCGTTGACACTGGTCCTGGTAATACCCACAGCCCTACCACTACCACAACATACCATGTCAATGATCTGGGACAATGTCACTTCCAGGGTCACATTCAGAGTCTGGTCTGTGTTTGCCACAGGTCTCAGGGCACTTGTATAGTTGGCAAACAGGTCACGAAACAGCTTGTGAGCCAGCCTGCCCTCAGCTCCAAGGAACACTGGAAGATGAATGAGAAGGGTTGCCCACCCATGACCACAGCTCAGGGGCCTCTGATCATATCCTCCACCCTCAGCTGGAACCCTTTCACCTGTTCCATGGTCTCACAGACTTTCGATAGTTGTGTGTGTGTGTGTTTGTGTGTGATGTGTATGTACGTGTGTTTGTGTGTGTTCATGGAGGCCAGAGGAAGACATGGTGTCCTACTCTATCACATTCTGTCTTATTCTCTTGAGCCAGAGTCTCCTACTGAACCCAGAGCTTGCTGTTACTTTTGGCTAGGCTGGCAGGCCAGCAGACCCCAGCAGTCCTGGGGTTGCAGGCACATGCAGCCCCGCCCAGCTTTTTACATGGGTGCTGTTCCCACCCTCACCAGGCCAGCCTCCCTCTCTCTTCCACAGTCCCCAGATAGCTTGTTCTCAGCTCTGTTCTTACAGGCATTGAAGAGAAAGATGGAGACCAGGTGGAGAGGGTTTGGGGAGGACAGGAATAGAAGCAATGCTAGGAGAGGGCTGGTACACACCTGCTGGAAGAAGTTGCAGGAACAGAAGGCTCAGGTGGAGGTGGTGGCTCCTGGTCCCCATGGTTCTATCACAGTGGGCTGGTATGATGTGGACAGTACCTGGAAATCCAAAAGAACAAGATCTCTGGTGGTCCCACTACCCTCCGGAGGCTGTAGACTTTACAGTTCTCTGATCCACCTACTCGCACTTGTCCTTGAGACTATATACCTGTCGTTGGCACCTGCCGTTCTCCTCTGCCGTTCCCAGCCTCTGTCCCTTTCTATGCCCCGTATCCCTTTTTTCCTCTCACTGCCTCACTTTCCTCTCTAACAGCCTTTGCCTTTGCCTCCCTGACTTCTTTCCACTCTTCCTTTTCCAGCCCCTTCATGCCTTGTACCTGGACCCTGGGTAAGCCTGCTGCTCTCAGCAGCCCCGGAGCAGGAGCTCTAGCAGCAGGAAGGGATCTAAGGCACAGGAGCACAGCCCTTCCTCCATTGTCCTTTTTTTATTAGCTCAATTGCAGGCTTGGCACAGAACAAAACTGAAACAGACACCTCAGAGTGTTGGACTCTTAAATTATTCAGATTCTGTAAGGCAGTACTCAGGTTCATCCTGGGGGTTGGGGAACTCAGGGGTGTGAGCTACAAAACATTAGGGTTTGTGTGCATGTGCAGAGCCAGGGCCTATGATGGGAATGTTCCCCAAAGCTCAGCTACCACCACTGTCTGACTTTCGGAGGCTCCCTATAGACATGCAGCTCACCTCTGAGTGAGGGACTGAGGGCCTCTGCTTTCCTCTTGAGAGAGGTGCTGAGTCTCAGCCCACTCTGGGTGGTCCCATAGAGCTGGAGATGCATTCCAGGCTGAGGTAGCCTTCCCAATGTCTAACTCCTGTGAGTGGGGATCAGGGTTAGGGTTTAGAGGTTATGGGTTATAGTTAGGGGTTAGGGTTTAGGGTTAGTGTCATGTGGTTGCAGAGAAAGCATACACTTTAGACGCTTATAGAATCTTTTCAGCTGTTTCGTTTTAGTATTTTTTGTAATGTATTTATTTTATGTGTATGAGTGTTTTGCTTACATATATGTAAGTGCACCATGTGTATGTGCTGGATAGCTTTAGTTGTCAACTTGACACACCTGGGTAGAGGGAGCCTCAATTGGAGAACTGGCCTATGGGCTGGCCTGTGACCATGTCTGTGGGGTATTTTCTTGAATGTTGACTAATGTGGGAAGGTCCAGCCCACTGGGTGCCACCCCAGGCAGGTTTTTCTGTATTATATAAGAAAGTAGGCAAGTAGGCTGAGTATGGGCCAGGGGAACAAGTCAGTAAGCAGCATTCCTCCAAGGCCTGTGCTTCAGCTTCTGCCTCCAGGTTCCTGCCTTGAGTTCCTACCTTGGGCTTCCTGATGAATTGTGACCTGGAAGATGTAACCCAAATAAACCCTTTCCTCCCCTAGTTGGTATTGGTTGGAGTATTTTGTCACTGCAATGGAGAAACAAACTAGAACATTATAGAGTGACCACAGAGGCCAGAAGAGGGCATCAGATCTCCTGGAAATGGAATTATAGGCGGTTGTTAGCTGCTATGTGGGTGCTGGAAACTGAACTTGGGTCCTCTGCAAGAGTAGTAATTCTCTTTACTGATGAGTCATCTCTCTAGGCCCACCCCCCCTTTTTTGTGACACGATCTTACTATGTAGACTGGGCTGGCTTTGAATTTATAGATATCCACCTGCCTCTGCCTCCTGAGTCCTGGGATTAAAGGCATATGCCACCATGCCTGGCTTCTTTTTTTTTTGAGACAGGTTTTCACTATGTAGCTCTAGCTGTCCTGGAACCCCCTGTATAGACCAGGCTGGCCTTGAACTCACAGAGATCCACCTGCCTCTGCCTCTTGAGTGCTGGATTAAAAGAATGGACTGCCAAGCCTAGACCTCTTTTTTGAACCAGGGTCTCATGTAGTCCATGGTGGCTTCAAACTTGCTGTGTAGTTGAGGACCTTGGATTTCTGTTCCTCCTGCCTGTCTCCCAAGTGCTGGAATTTCAGGCATGTGCCAGTATGCTCCCTGTCAGGCATATCTTCTGAGGTCAGAGAGTACTAAACACAAGGCACCATCTATGAAGTATTCTTGGGGAATAGTGAAGGAAAGAGAAGTCTCTAACTATAATCAACAGTTTATAAAAAGGGACGTACTTTATCAGTTTAAATTGCTTGTGGGTATATTTCTCCTTCAATTGTTTTCTTCTTTTTTTTTCTTTTATCTTTTTGAGACAGGGTCTCCCTGTAGCCCCAACTGTCCTGGAACATGCTATGTAGACCAGGCTGGCCTTGAACTCACAGAAATCTGCCTGTCTTTGCCTCCCAAATGCTGGGACTATAGGCGAGCACCACCACAACCAGCTTCAATTGTTTTCTAATTTACAGCATCAACATATTCACCAAATCTTTCTTGGTATCCATTCCCCCCACCAATACAGGTCAAGGTACAGTGAGCCAAATCTAGTGCCCTTGAACAGGAAATCTGTTCTCCATGGTACAACACAGCTTCTGTGGTAAACGTTTGATTTAGCATCCCCCTTCCTTTTGAGATGGTCTGGCTAAGTTACAAGTTGGCCTTGAACTCATGCTATAGCCCAGGTGGGCCTTGAACTCTCGGTCCTCCTACTTGGGCTTCCTCAGCTGGGATTACAGGCCTGTGCCACCAGGCATGGCTCCCTTCTAAAATTTATTTTTTTAATTTATTTTTATTTTCTGTATGAGTGTTTTGGTTTTTTTTTTAATCTTCCTTGGGACAGTCTTCTTGTAGCCCCAGTTGGCCTGGAACTCACTATGTAGACCAGGCTGGCCTGGAACTCACAGAGGTCCACCTGCGTCTGCCTCCTGAGTGCTGGGATTAAAGGCATGCGCCACCACGCCAGGCTCAGCTTCTTTCTTTTTTAAAAAAAATCCCAGCTCCCAGTTTTTTTGTCTGATGTTGTTTTGAGACAGGGTCTCCCTGTAGCCCCAGCTCGCCTAGCATTTGCCATGTAGACCGGGCAGCCCATCTCTGTCCTTTCCCCACACCAGCTTAAGTAACCCACATGTCTCTTGCCAATCTAGCTCCCTCTAAACTACAACTCTTCCATGTCACGTTTCTTAAAAACCCCTCGACCACCCTTGATTCCTGCCCTCCTCTCAGTCGAGTTTCCTACCTCCCTTCCAGTGAACTGCTCACTCACTTGTGCTTGGAAACTCGTTAGGAACTCTCTTACCGGGATCCCCTAATTTCCCCAAATCCCTTACCAAACCCAACCTTAACTTGGTTTATGGATAGAACTTTAACTCTCACCCCAATGGTGTCCCACAGGCCATGGTATCTCTCACAGATGTCATTGAATCAGGACCCCTACCACTTGGAACTGTTAAGGTTCAGATAGCCTTGCCCCCTCACCAACAGGGTCTTAAGGACTTCTCATGCTCCTGAGAAAAGGGAACTGAGCTGATAAGCACCTTGGTCTTTGAAGTCAAGAGAAGCAGACTTTTCTCCACTGTTTGGCCAACACAGTAGGCTTCCCCTTTGATCTCTAAAGAGAACAGGTTTTAACAGTCCTTCTCTCCCACTCCCCCCACCCAACTTTAAAAAAATACATCTTCCCGCCTTCTGCAGGAAGCAGAAGCCTCCCTCCTTTTAAAAAAGACCTCAGCTCACAACCTGAGCAGATATTTTCCCTGCCTGGAAGGGAATCTGTCCCATGTGTTCCTTTGTTAATAAACTCTGCTTTCTCCTGATCAACCCTATTCATCATATGGCTATTTTTTTTTAATCTATCAGATGGTACCAAAACCCCGTTCTTACTTCAAGGGACCTGCCTGGACTTCTCCAGTGCCACTGACTTGGCTTTGAGGTACACTTCTTTTCTCTCTCTCCTCCTCTCCCCAGCCCTCTGCTTTGCTCTCACCTCTTTCTGGCTCTCCTCACTGGGAACACTCTGCCTTGCCTACTTCTTTTGATCTCCTTTCCCATTGATTTTCACCACTCCCGGACAGCACTGTGGTCTCCGTGATGGAACTGCTTCATCCATTCCCTATCTCGGGTCCCCCACCCGCCGCTCACCAACGGCATCTCGCCCCCTCCTGCCATGGGCCTGCAAGGTCTGCTGTCTTCCATCCTTTTTCCTGTCTTTGTCCTCTTCCATTGCCTTTCCTCCTCACTTTACTCGGGCTGATTTCTAATACCGTTCAATCCAACACATACAAATGGTCTATATCCTTCTCCTCTCTCTCCCCCTCCCACACTAAAGCTTTCTACTCCCACCAAGCGCCTGCCAGCCCGCCATGTCTGACCTCCCATGCTGAATGACCCCAAGGTTTTTTTCCCTTCCTGCTATTCACTCCCTCCAGGCAGCTGCCAAGATTGCTGGATTGCAAGCTTGCCTGCTTGCCCTGGGAATTTTTTTCTTTAACATTCTAATTAAATGATAAGTTTCCAGCTGGTCCCATTCTTAAATTCTCTTATAAATGTGGGTAAAAACCCTTTAGGGGACCCTTTCTCCCCATTTTGACCCAACTAGCCTAAACCGACCGGGCAACTTTGCTGGCTCATTTAAACAATTTCAGGCTGCTTGTCCATTCACAAACAAAAAGCATTTTAAAAGCCTTTTTTTCTCCTAAACTTTTTCTCAAAGGGGCTCGAAATTTTGATCTTAGGCCCTCTTGGGCATCAAGCAACTGGTGCTCAGGTGCCTACTTTTCTAACTAGACCTAACCATTTTAAATCTCACTGTACAGAAAAGGCCACAGGCACTGCTCAGGTGAGTCATATGCTTTCAGACCAACGAACACTGATAACACTGATTCCTATGTCCTGTTCCTTCTGCTGCCCTCATGAGTTTCCTTTCCAGCATAGCTTCTGTCTAGAAACTAAGAGCTCCTGAGAACTTGGCTTCGCATTCACGGCTACATTGGTTGGTGAGAAACATGGATTCCTTTGATTTGCTTTTCTATTTGGGTCACATATGCATAAATATCTGAGGGTACTTTCTTCTTTAATATCAAGCCTAATCTACCGGTACCAGGGGTGCCTAGGATTCTCTTCCAATTTATTT